TGCGACTCTTCGTCAATACGCACCCATCCGAAAGCAGGACCTCCTGGTTACCAGGCGAGCTCGTAGACCATTATGCCACTGGGGCCTGATCCAATGGCCCATGAATTCTAACTTCTGCCAATTCACGATATAACTCAACCGCTAGCCTATATCTTCGGAGAGTATTTGTCCTCATACCCGGCCTGCTACACCCTACTGGTCACGGCTTCCCACTGGAATCTCAGGTAACTACCTACCTGAATAGGGCCAGTCACCAGTGAGCATCTCATTGATATTCAAGTGTTGGTTTGTAGGGATTCGGTTGATTGGTTACAGGATTTAATCATGAGCTGACATTGGTTGGGTGAAGACAAATACTCGCCGAAGACATTGGCTAGCGGTTGCGCTATACAGTGAATTGGCGGAAGTTAGAATTCATGGGCCATTGGATCAGGTCCCAGTGGCTAAATGGTCTACGAGCTCGCTTTGTAACCAGGAGGTCCTGCGTTCGGACCTCCTGTGGTGAGTGCGTATTGATGGAGAGTCCCAAACTAGGACGAAACGGTTGACCAGCACTCCCAGATTTCCCAATGGTTCTCTGACCAATGTCAGCTCATGATGAAATCCTGTAACAAATCCGTATATGTATTACACAGCGAAGCTGTGTTATTTACTAGATGACATTTCGAATTTAAACCATCAGTGATATTTCCATCCAAAGAAGGAACCTCGGAAAATTTAAGGAGAACAAAGGGAATAAAAGTTGCATTCACACCCACAAAATCAATTAGAAACAATCTTTGTTATTTAAAGGATCCTGTGGAGGCAATTAAACAATACAATTTAGTTTATCTAATACCTTGCTGGAATGATTTTCAGGTTAGATACGTAGGTCAAAGTAGCAGAATGGGGGTTAGTCAGACTAGTGGAGCACAAAAACCTACCTAAATCTAGATTAGCTCACACTTATAAGATAAGAAGTCTGGAGAATAGTTCAACTATAGCCCTTACTATGTAAAATTAACCACAACCCCACAATAGAATAGGATGAGACAATAGTTCTAAAGTTAAATATGGCAAGGTGGAGGGAGAGATTGATAACAGAAGCTTCATTTATCGTGTCAACTGAAAATAGGTGTGATAGAACTATTTCAACACCTGTCCATCTGGACATCTGGAAAATTCTTCTAACCCTGCAACGAATATGAAAGAATAAAGAAAGCTATAAAACGAAAATTTCGAAGTTGTGTGGTGATAACTGATATGATTGTGAAAAAAAATTGTGTTCAAAACGTCATCTTATAAATAACTGTTTCACTGTGTGTTATATCTAATATAAAAGTTATTATGATATAGCAACTGGTACATAACTTTCATTTAATTTTGGGAGCAGCATGCTGAACTGCTTTTCTCAGAGACGGTAATTTCGTAAACCCGCAAAACTCTAGTGACATGGAAATGACTCCAAGCAGTGAAAATTGGAGTCTCCAACGGTGGAGACAGTAACTGTAAATGCTCTTAAAACTGACTGAGTCTTAATGAAACCAAATCTGTGACCAGTTATGGTCTTCTCTGTACCGTAGAATACGGAATGATTGCTACAAGAATTGTCAGTAACCACTCAAACAGTCCAAATCTCATCCCTAGCTAACGCATTCCTAAATCATCTAGCTGATAGTCAGCTCGAAGAAGAGGGAATATTGGGTATAAGGCTAGCAGTCATTCCCCTCTGAAAACATCAAAACTAACGCAGAAACTCCACAGCTTGAAGTTCTGTGTTTTACACGTAAGGTATTGAATGAAAAACAAGTCTTGTGAGTACACTAAAGAGTGCGACTTTTAAGCTTTTTTGGGAAATGAATCCACAGTTTAGCTGTACTCTACTTCTCAACAGTTTATCCTTATTTACTGCGCATGAGAGAATCTTTGTTTAAATTGTAATAAATAACCACGCCTTCTGAACGCAAAACTTCGCCTTGGATTCCAGCCCACATTCATTTGCGAACTTGAGAATTATATTGACCTACGAACAACAATGTAGCACAGGTGATATCAGTTGTAATCATAATGACTTTTATCCCTGATGAGGTGAAGACATGAGGTAGGATCGAACCAAAAGTAGTCGCTTTCCCTTTCAGAAACACTTTTTGAGTAAACAATTCTACTTACCTTTACTGATTAGGCAGCTTACACAGCTTATGATGCTTGTTGAAAGATTTCCATCAATGACTGGCATAAGGATGATCGTCACATGCTTCAGAATGATTTTTGACTCATGGCTATAGGCGTGAACTACTGTGTCATCATCAAGGCGTTATATTTAGAATCTGAAGTCAAAAGAGCTAAAACATACTGCCGCACTCCAGTCATGAAGTGAACAGAAGAGAATTATTTATTAAGTGCTTTCAAGAAAAATGCATACCCATACATTTTTATCAGCGAAATGTCTAAATTCGAATCAGACTACTAGCAAGAAATTATTCTCAGAAACCACAGCAGAATCCATCCTACCATGTATGGTGTTTCAGAAATAATGACTATGGTACTACAACCATTCAGAACACATATCACACAAAAGCCAACTCAATCATTTCATTTGTTAATATATAAGCTAAAGAAGACAAGGTCAACACTGTCGACAAAATAAATTGCACGAATTGTGATAAGTACTGTATTGGTCAAAATACGCATACCCTTCAACTCTGAATCTAAGAACACAGAGTGGCTATCAGAAGACACGATATATATATTTTTTTACATATGAATGCATGTAGACACTTACGGACGCCGATTCGATTGAGGATATGTAGAGGTTTTAAACAGTGGAAACACTGAAACCACCAGAGAATTAGATGGCTAGAGGCAATCGGCAGGAAGCCTTGGACCTAGGTTTCGTGCTAGTTGGCAATCATCAGTCAGCAAGGCGTATCTGAAACCTCGAAGGTACTCATGTTTCTTCTGAGATTCAAACCCGCGTCACCCAAGGGAATTCCTAGAAGCCTAGGAATGACTGGGGAATAAGTAATCAGGAGACACATTACTGTAGATTGAATTTATCCACTAAAAAAGAATAGGACACATAATAAAACCAGTCACATTCTAAGTGAGCAGAAAAATTTATCACTGATGCAAATTGAAGACCAGTCAGATCAGAGTTTGTACCAAGAGATACAATTATATAATGCATGAGAAATTCAAATAAATTCACTCCATATTCAAGCTTGTACTGAAGAAGCTGTCCTGACGGATAACGAAAGCCCACTGTTTATCACTGTTTTTTATAACCAAAAACAAGGATGCTCAGCGAAGGATTTGAAGTAAATGCAGGAGTTACACAAGGCTGTCTACTATCGTCGATGGTTTTCCTAATTGTGGTGTACTAGATTATTCGTCAGACTGTAGGGAGCCAGAAGACAGGAACAATTTGGGCCAATAAGAAGACTCTAGAAGGTCTGAATTTTGCGGATAATTCATGTCCAGTGTCGCATAAAATGAAGACCTAGTGGTGAATATCAACATGTTGGCAGAAGATACTAGTAGCGAAGACACGACTTCATGCAAAACATAGAAAAGACTAAAGTGATGAAAGTAGCCAATCACCAACAATGACAGCAAGCATCAATCATTCATTATCAGCAAAAGAAGTTCGAAAGAGTTCACTTCCTCTGCTTATCTGACTGGGCAGTACCATTTGAACTACAGGCAAGGCTGATGAGGATGCCAAAACAAGGATCAGAAACACAAAACAGCCCTTCGTCACCACGAAATCAGTTTAGAAATCTTCTGCATTCAGCCTAAGATTTTCAACACCAGTGTTAAGTCACTTCTTCTGTATAGGTCAGAGACATGGCGAGTTACAAAAAGCATTTTGACCAGACTACCGTAGACTTTCATCAACAGCTGCCTTCGCTCCAAATAGCTGGCTAAAAAGAGTGGGTGAAAAGAAACTCAAAAAGTATCCCGAAGAAAGCGGAGATGGATCAGGTACACACTGGGAAGACCATCGAATGGCATCGCGTGCCGGGCCATCTCTTGAATGGAATCCTAGAGGAACACAATGAGTGATAAGTGACTATTGTAATCGTACTTTCACCTTAACAAGATCTCAGAGAATAGAACGAATTAGAAAAATGCTGTTGAAGCCCTACGTTTCACTGGGAATCCGGGGAAACAATAATAATAATAACAATCATTGATCAGTCGTGAATGCCCACATTCATTTCCGCTCTTAAAAGCATTTTTAAATTAATTACATTCAGCAAAAGCAAACAGTAGATGGATTTATATTTGATGTCAAAAAATATAAGTCATCACACACACTGTAAGCAGTATCACTGTGCGTGTATGTACTGTTACTCAAATATATCAGTGCTGAAATAAAAAGTACACATAACTAAATTTCCACAAATTATTGACCATTATAATTCAACACTCAAACCTTCACTGAGAAAATATATACTTGATGTATTTGTACAATTTTTGAGCAGAATATAAAATAATATTCGTTATCTCTGCTTCATCTTCACTTTATTTAGAGACACAACTCTGCTGTGTCAGTAGTATATTGTTTGAAGCGCAAAAAATAGGTAACTTATCAGTGGACAAAGCAATAATAGTAAGCAAATTTTAATAAAAAAAAAAACAAACTAAGCGCTTACTATCATGTTTTGAAATTAAGAGAAGCTAGAAAGTGTGGAAAGTAAGGAAAATAGTACAAATGGACGACTGCAATGTTAATAAAAAAGTACACTCAATGATTTTTACTAACTTCATAATAATATCTGAGCAAAACTGTCAGTCTTTGTCGGGTAAATCTTGAAAATTTATCCAGATTAAGACGGCATAAAAGCATTTTTTTTCCGCTTTTTATTTTATCGTTATTACTTCTGACAATAACTAACCAACTATCTGATCACAGAAACAGATATTTGCTTTCCCTCCAGTCATTAATTTACACTTGAACATTGATCTATGTATGTATGCGGTGGTATATTTATTTATTCTCTTTATTAGCGCCACTTTTAAAAATCTTCAAATTCATACTTGAATTTCTCTTTATCGGAAACTTTAAAATTTTCTTCATCCCATTTTTCGAAACAACTTGTATCACATGGGCCTTTACATTTCGGTTTATACGGTGGACGTATTTTCATTTGATACAGTTGTAACCAGTCTAAATCAGAGAAATAGGCATGACGTTTAATATCGTTGATACCATTTTTTAAATTACCAAACCGTCGACTTAAATCCACCTGGATAAGATTACGTACTAGATCTTTTAATACTGGTGAAAAGTTGTTGGTAAATTTAACTTTTCCAGATATAATATGTTCAAATGTTTTCATTTGATCTTGATGCATAAATGGAGGGAAACCAGTTGTCATTTCATATAATAAAACGCCGAATGCCCACCAGTCTACAGCACAATGATAACCTTTACTCATTATAATCTCAGGTGCCATATAATCAGGTGTACCGCATAATGTCCATGTCCGTTTGTCTTTTGGGATTAATTTGGCGAAGCCTAAATCGGCGACTTTCAGAAAACCATCAGCAGTAATCAATAAATTCTCTGGTTTTAAATCACGATAAGCAATTGTTAAGTGATGTAAGTATTCAAAGGCTAGAACAACTTGTGCTCCATAAAATTTTACCATATTTTCTGGAAAACGTCTCATATTACGTAAAAGTGTAAACATTTCACCGCCAATAACAAATTCCATAACCATGTATAAATAACTATTATCTTTAAAACTATAAAATAAGCGTATAACAAAGGGAAAATTGCATGCACTTAATATACGCTTTTCATTGATAGCATTATCAACTTGACGACTTTTAACAATTTCAACTTTGGACAACACTTTTAAGGCATAAAATGAATCTGTTTCAATATGTCGTACTAGCAGTACACGACCAAATGCACCACGACCAAGTGTACGTATTCTCTCAAATCTTCCATTTTAGCTGTATCTTTTGGTGAATTTGCATATAAATGATGAAATTCTTTGACTTTTTCTTCTAAAATTTCATTCAACTCACTTTTTTCTGGCATACTTTGAGGAAGAGTAAATTAATTTAAGAATGTTTTTATTCAAGTGTAAACATTGATGAGGTGCTCAGACGCATATCCATAGGTTGATTTTTAATAATAATCCTCTAATTTAACATCGCGTGTTTGCAAAGAAGAATTCAAGAACATTAGGATCTTTCTTTGTCTCTCTTGTAATAGAATTTATTTAATAGTAAGTGGGCTTCTCAGTTGATTTGATTAACTTGGAAAATGGATCAGTATAAGCCATGATGTATATTGATTTTTGTCAGTTTAAATTCCCGTCTGTGCTATTGATGATATATACCTATTTATATGGGTATATATACGTTTATATATACATATATATATATTTCTCAAGGCTCCATTGACAGTTTATGAAATAACTGATTCACATGTGTGGCTATCGGATAGATTGTTACTGGTATCCTATGGACTATTCATGGAATGAACTTATAAGTGTATACATCTATGTACATATATGTGTTAATAAAATAATGCACACATAAACACACAAGTTAATGACAAACATGTGAAGACAGTGTGCTTGTAATATAAGCAGATACCACTGTGCTGTTATTATTACGCCACATAGAATTAATTCAAAATTCAATTTAATGCAACCTTATTATACAAGAATAAGAACGGTTCGTTTTATTGCCTTGTTATATAACAATCTTTTATGGTTTGGTAAGATTAATTCTTCGTCTATTCATGAAGAAGTGACCAATACAGTTGAGGTATATTATCATTTAAAAAATCTGTCTGCATGTGAAGTTGTCCAACGGATTAAAACACCACTTTAACATTTAGAAAAAAATGGATAAATTACAGCTGGAACACCACAATTTTGTGTTGCTGTGTGTGATAATATAATTTAGCTTAATTGTTAACAAGTTTTTAATGAATAGATGACTGAAGTTAGAAGGAAATCAGCGTGATTACAGAATTTCAGCCGATACTATTCACATTGTTAGTCGAAAAACAATGTAACAGTGATATTTTGTTTGTCATTTTCCCGCCGATCAATAATGGTTGATCAAGTGAAATATACGGTACCTAACTGGGCTACTTCTATAAGCATTCACAAGTTTAGTTACTGTTATGGCGAAAGTAATGTGAGCCAAACAACTGGACAGCGTAAGAAACGCATTACTGAGCGCTTTCCTTCATTGTTTGGAAGATGCCAAACAAAATTCATATAAAGCTCTATTTAGTCTCATTTGATTGGTAGCAGTCACCATGTAGACAGAAGAAGAGCCTTCATGGTTATCTGTCGCGTTCCATCTAACCTTTCGAACGGAATTCAAACCCGCCTTTTACATGCAGCTCAAGCTATGGGAATTTCAAAGAACAATTCTAGTGTTGCCAAACTAACTTATGTCAGATAAATGCAACTATCTCAAGAATGTCATTCAGCAGCTGTACAGTCCGAAAGTTCTTCAAGTACAAAATATCCACTGTGCAACAAAATTAATTGGCCAGGTACAGCCACCAAATGTCCAGGAATATGGAAGGATATACTAAAAATTCTGTTTCATATGGACAGCCCATGGTCAGACTGTCGCTTTACTGTGAGACCTTGAATCCTCTCAAACAAAACCACAATTGCAAGACTACTGATTGTTGACAGCATCATACAACTGTAAAGGGGAGCATTATAGATAGGAATCGACCATAATATTAAGGACATGTAGATGGTGGAGTGCTGGCACACGCGATTAGTTCAGATATCTGAATAACTATAGGATGTTCAGACAGAATGTTCATCTAGAGATTTTGAAATTCACTTTCATCAAGTACTTCTGAAGAGTTTCATTACAGGACGAATTAGCTGTTCAATGCTCTCTGCTTTTCATCAGTCTCTCTAAGTGATCTTGGTTTGTGAAGAAGTCTAATACCATGATACCGATAAACTGATTATCGATAGTAATTTCTAAAATATAAGCGCATACAGGCCACTCGTTTTGAATCGATGAGAACATATTATTATTATTATTATTATGGTACAATTTTTTATTCTCTTTAATCGTTCATTTTTGCCGAAGCGCCTAATGCTGTTTTACTGCAAGTGAAATCTCCACCCTGGCTCCATAGGCTTTCAAAAAGTTCTCGACAGCGTCAACTGTGAATTATTTCCGAATTCGCTCCAACTCTACGGAGTGCTCCGAACTTTTATCAACCCCATGCAACATCTATGTGACAGTCCCATGTGTCAGATTATCCAAAGCGGAAAACTCAGCTAGGAAACCAGTGCCATTAGTTTCGAACGCGAAAGCTTTATCCACTAGACCACTTGGGCCAGGAGAGCCACTCTTTGTGCAACAGGTCATATTAATTTAATTGAATTTGAGATTTTCCTGTTGACTGACCGAAGTGCTTGGTCTCAGGTTGACAGGTCGGCTTCTTGTGCAGACGTGCAGGTAAATACGGCTGATGTCTGTCTGTCTGTTTTCGACATAGTACTTTGCACAAATGTGCGGAAGTTCAAGTGGCCACACTCCGCCCTTGTAGCACACAAAGGAAGAGAAGAAAGTACAAGAAAAGCATAATAGAGACAGTAAGCAGAGGTGTGAGACAAAGGAATAGTAATAACGAAGAACAAAACAGTTTCATTTGAAATCATAAGTCACAAGGAGTGGATGCATCTGCGCCACTGAGAACGATTTTGAGCCATGTCACCGATTGTTTCCAACCATAGATTTTTACCGTCCCGAGGACCCCAGCCTGGAAGTCTACACCTTCCAACGTGGCTTAGACCAACTGTTGTGGATTTCATTGACTGGTGCCAAGTTTTTGTTTGACCGCCGCTAGCTTTTTTCCAGCCTGACCCTATATCCTCTAACATTGCTCGTCGAGGGAGGCGATGACTTGGCATACGTAACACATGTCCTAACCATCTCAGTCTTTGTAGCTTCACGACTTCGTCGATTGATTTCCCCTGTTTACCTAGAACTTGACGCCTAACCTCAAATACGGCTGATGAGTCCAAAATAGGACGAAAATGCGCGTCCTGGATTCCACTGCTAGTCACCATCCACAAATTAAATTCTAATTAAATGCCCAGACATCGTCGGAGCATTAGCACAAGAAGCCGACATGTCAACTTGAGAGCGAGCACTTCGGTCCAATCAGTCAGCGGTAAAATCTAAAATAATTCAACTAAAGTAAGATAAAACTGACTACTATCACCGATTTTATTCCTAACTATAGTGGAGTGGATCGTGCAGTAGGATGTGGGAGCAAGAAGAGAGGTATACTCTGAACCGACAAAAATACTCTAGAAGATCTGGCCTTTGCAAACAATTTGTGCCTAGTGTTATAGAAACTCAAGGACTTACAGGCTAAAATCAACAAGTTGGCAGAATAGATTGGCAGTAAAGACAGTACTTCAAGTAAAACATTAAATAAGACAGAGGTGATGAATATATCCAGCACACCAATAACAGATATCAGTCACTGTCAGCGTGAGAGGTTTGACAAGGTTAGAATTTTCAACGCTTATGTCAAATCAGTCAGTTCTTCTGTATGGTTCAAAGACTTGGTATTCGTGTCGTCAAATGCATTTCTGATAGGACGTAGAATTTCATCAACAACACTCAAAACGTAACGCGGAGGAGACCCATTGCGAGGATGAGGTGAAAGTCTGTGGGCTAGTTAAAGAGAAATGCAGTGATCACAGTGAAAGGGATATGTGCTGCTAAAGCTCTATTTTTCGCTTGGAACCCAACATAATAATAATAATAATGGTAATAACAGTATTGTTGAAATCATTATAGAGTATTTTTCTTGAATTTTATTCGATTTTACCGATATTAAGTGTGGTATATTCCAATGACACGTTACTTTGCTGAAGTTTATCACTCTCTAGATAGATCCCATCAAAAACGTGAATTCAAACTAACGTGTGAATAATGCTACTTTGCTTTATGATCGCTTATATTTTAAGGCGATTTAGAAGGCTTCATTCACTGGATCGGGTCCCAGTGGCCTAATGGTCTGCGACCTTGCCCTGTAACTAGAAGATACTGGGTTCGAGCCCTAATGCGTGAGAGTCCCAAACTAGGATGAAACAGCTGTCCGGTACTTCCAGGTTTTCCAATGATTCTCTAGTCAATGTCAGCTGATGATGAAACCTTCCAACTAATATGTAAACACAACTAGTTAACTGCCCAAATGTCCCATACACCAGTTAGTGTTTTTCATGCGTTCAATATTACTCAAAATATCACACTTTTGGCATTTACCAGGGTGAAATGGTAACCAACTGCACTATATAAAAGAACAGAGTTCAAACATTTTGATGGAACCGATTACCGTCTCTGCAACTTTAATGATTTATAATTAGTTAATAATGACAAATGAAAGCGTTAACACAATTTCTGTGTGCATACCGTGTTTCCATAAACACTCACTAAAGCTGTATACTGCAGTACACAGTAAAAGGTAATCATGCCTTAAATTCAAAATAATCCTTGAATAACTGTCCCCTCACTAGAATGAATTGGAATAAATGCATTACTAAACACAGAAAGCGATGATTAGTTGAGGTAGTTGATTTACAATTTTTATTATTGAAATACCTCTTTCGGAAAACTCGTTAAATTGAGCACACCATTTTACACAGGGGACCTTTGGATTTAGAAAGAAGTGAACAGAATATTTTCGCCTATATGTAATTACGTTTTAAGCATACTTTTGGATTTTGATTACAGCTTGATGCCACACCGTATTTTCGGTACAAGTATGGAATTTTCAGCATGTGATAACGGCAGCCCTTAGATATCGGGTGTGCGTCGGCAGGAGATCGAAATCTGGACCATGAGCATGGTCGGCGAGAGTCCTAACCACTGTGCCAGCAGTACACAAGATTTTATTGTAACAAAAAAGAGCACGTTTAACAGGTATTTCGATCTGGGTAATTGTATACAAAGCTTGAAAATGTCCCGCTCAGAGACACAATTGAAGGGATTGTCTATTATTCTCGATACGTAGATAATACCTTAATCGTTTGTGATAGATATCTTAATAATCAAGAGCTTCCGAATGCTGTTAATATTGTTCACCATGCTATTCAGTTTACATGTGAGGAATAAGAAAATAACTGTACGCCTTTCCTAGATGTCTTCCTCACCATTAAGACAGGCGGATATCTACAGAGGAACTGATTTAAAAAGAAAACTTGGACGGGTCAATACACCGATTTCACAGCTTCACATCGATTCAATACAAAACAAACTTAGGTGTCTTAGCTATAGAATGAGATGTATATGTTCAAAGGAGTGCACTGAGGAAGAAATGTTTAAACTGAAGCTTACACTGCAAGAAAATGGGCATCTAGAGAACCTCTTAAGAAAGTACATGTTAATAGAGTAACGATGAATACCTCGTTAATAAGAAACCTCTATATCTGTTAAGTTAAAAGGGAGAAAGTGCAACTGATATTCTAAAATATCGACTTAACAGAGCATTAGAGAGAATATTTCCTGCAGCTAAACTGGTACTCAACTACCCAACTAAACCAATATTCACACAATGAGTCAAGGATAAATTACCAAAGATGGTCTTATCACTGTGTATCTATGAATTCAGCTGCTCATGTGGAGCTAATTACATTGGCCGTACTCAGAGGACTTTGTCCATGCGTGCGCATGGACATGTACGTGTATGCTTGAGTAAAGAGGTAACCAAATGCATAAACAGTGCAGTCTTAGCCCACTTGGTAGATACTGGACACCCGATAAAACTTGACCAAGCGTTCTCAGTTATTTACTGCTTTCCTAGTAATTTATCTAGAGGAGCTCGACTACGTCTTCTCTCAGTAGTTGCAGCGGTTGCAATCAATACCAGAATACCGACTCTTAGAATAAAGAAGAAGAAGTATGTTCAACGACTATGTTTACCTTGGCCTGCAATAAAACCAAAAAATCCTCCATAAACATTACCACTTTAAATTCCTATCACAATTTTCCGTTTCTTCTTCTATTCCCTTGTTTCATTGGCAAACGTTCGCTTTAATATTTTGTTGTTTCATGACCTTTCTTATGATTTCTATTACCTTAGGTGAAAGTAGTACTTTTCTAACTTGGTATCGTATTTACAAAATCCTGTTCATATCACTTCACTGAATTCATTATTATAATTTGATAATCGTTCACCAATAGTCCTTTTAAGTTTACGCCACATCATCGTTTTTATTTTACAATCATTATTATTGGCGTTATTTCCAACCTTGAACTTATGTCTAGGCCGCCCTGTTCGTTGGTTTATTTTCATATTGTCTCACACACCACTGATTATATTCACTCTCTCTATGTATTTATGTATATACGCACACATCAATAAATTATTTCACCTTATTTTATCTCATGTACTCATTGATCATGCATACTCAAAACTAACTGACTATTGTTCCATCCCATTTTATACTTGTTCCACAGTACACCTTCTGATATGATTCTAATTTGACTTTACTGACTGGCTGGCTGGGTATTGTATGCTTAAATCAGTGGATTTATAATTGTAGAGCCTGAAGAAGAGGAATTTATTGAAAGCGACAATTGTTCGCCCTAACTATTTTCTTCTGAATAAATTATGCGAATATTCAAGTAAGTATACAAATAACTGATATGCCTAAACTTTTCGAAGCAAAAGCAAATTTAATTACTCACAGAGGATCCACATAGATTTAACCGAAAAAATTAAAGAGCGATTGTGAGAGTTAAAAAAGACAAGTAATAAGTGAAATGACGCATCTACTGATCGAAGTATGTGGACAACTGGTACTTTTTGACTGCAGAGACTGTGGATTCCAACTTCTTTTTCTAGCATCTGATACAGAAAAAAGAATTAGTTCTGTATAGTCTCGGTTACCAAAGTCTCGGATAACTGTTTATGGCTGTTTATGGCAGTAAACTCTACACAATTTTTCACCAAGACGGCAGGCTTTATCACTGACTACTCTCAGAATAGACAGGTTTTCGACTATTAATCTCAATGTCAACAAGCTTCGTACATGTGTTCAGTTTGAGAATCTACCCAGTCAAACCTATAATCTCATGCCACGGTTTCACCAAGATTTTCAACACTTCAAATCTACCATCACTGATATGTTGACGACAGCAAGTTTAATATAGGGATACCCACTAGAGATTTGAAAACGCTACTTTTGACATGTACAGTGAATGGAGGATTTAATTTCAGTGAAATAATTTACAGATAAAAGAAATGATAAATCCAGATGAAATTAAGAATTTTGGAGGAAAGTAATTTCGATAGCCCATTGATTTAAACAGGGCGCCTTATGTTGTCCAACGCGTGTACGAAGCTTGTTGACAGTGAGATTAATATCACATAACTTCGAACCCATAAACACGGATTTCAATTTCAATTTACATAGGTAGGGATAAAGAAGAGTGGCTGAACACGTATCTCTCAGGACTATCAGGAAATTTCCAAAACGATTCAATCTCTAACTTTCATGGTCGTGGTAAAGTATGACAATCCCTATTCGACTTTTTGGCTTTGTTTAATTTTTTTTTATTTATTCAGTTTGCATACTCCTCCCTTATTACATCAATTGTTCCTGTTACTGTTCTCTCTTTGAATTGTCCCCGGTATTATTTCACAAGTCGTACGTGTCATTCTACATTAATGTTTTTGCAACGCTGAATCCTACGTTGTCAGATTTCGTACAATGTTACGTAGCGTTTTGATTTTGATTTTATTTACCTAACAACCCTATAATTTTACACCCGTTTCCACACTGTGCGTCGGTGGCACAGTGGTTAGGACTCTTGCCGTCCATGTACATAGTCCGGGGTTCGATCCCCTGCCGACACACATCTCATATCTATAGTCGGGCTACCGGTATCTCATGCTGAATATTCCATACGTGTGCCGAGAAAATAAGGTGTGGAATCAAGCTGTAATAAAAAGAACTCCTCTTCTCTGGTGATGGAAGGCAATGTAGTTGGTCTGCTGATCATACCAGAAAAATTCCTTGTAGCCGATGCAATTTTATCCTCCGATAAATCTACTTCACCCTCAAAATTTTACATCGTGTGAGCAGTTCGTATTATGAAGACGTCTGTTTTCAGCTAGACAGACTTCAGTATGACTTTTCTAGTACCGCGCTGTATACGAAAACATTTATTTCAGACAGTAGAGCTCTTTAAACAATAGCATAAATGCAAGCAGGATAACCTCATTAGCATGTTAGGTAAATACATCCATTAACTGGTGGGCTTTAGAAAGATTTTAGCTTAATGAGCGGAACAAAGAAAAATAAATTAAAAAAGTTAAAGTCGAGTGCAGTGACATTGTGATGTGCGTCACAATTTTCCCATTTACAGTTGGTTTCTTCAACAGAAAAACTAACTTGGTCTTCTCTGCTACCGATTTCGTTCATACTTAGACATATCATATGAAAACGACTGCCTTTGAGTACGTGTTACTATCAAACCAATTAGAAATGTTCTCATAAAATGGCACATGGTGATAAACAACATGAAACTTCATATCCTGAAATATGTGAATTGAATCCCTCTTCAGTATCACTAGCTAGAAAGAGGCCTAGTCTCCTCCACCTAAGTTCTACTTTTTTGCCAAAGCAGCTCTAGAAATTGAGGATCTCTCCTGCTTGAAAGGATTTTGTTTTTAAGCTAAACGAGCTAATACCGCTCAGCATTTCTGTAGTCGCTGTGTGGCATACAAATGTAGCTCAAAGTTCTAACACTTTAAATCCATGAAAGAATTAAAGTATGGAACTAGCTTATTCATTCTTGTGACAGAATAAGTTTCAGGCGTCGTCATCATGAACAAAGGTGTTGTCAATTCATGAAAACAAAAAGAAACATACAAGAGATCTCTCTCTTCAGGAAATGTGCAGAAATGTGAAAAACGCCTCGGTATAAATTGTATTAGTAAAGAAAATTGGAATTCACACAAGCCAACTAAGGGAGTATTAACTACGAAACTCTTGTTTCGACGCAGTTCCCATGACACTGAGTTTAAATTGTGACGTCTACGGGCTGAACGGATCTCTTTGGGATTTAATGACAATGCAATCACAATTATTGTGGCATTATTATTTAGTCTGAAGTCTTCATTCGTGCTTACGCATATCGTTTATTTCTCTCAATTTACAGTCCAAGGAATAGATGAGTGGAAATTACACAAATCTGGAATCACCTTTTTCTCCTCCTCATTGATTAATATTTTCATTGTCAATCAAGGAAAGAGTCAGAAATTATAATTGTTGAATGAATTTCTGTGTGTCTATTTTACGAATATTTACTGATCCTCAAACAAGCAGTGACACTCTTAAAGTAGGAAACATTCCACTTGCACTTCTGTAGTATCTGTCATTTACAGTACCTTTATAACTTTTTTAATGTTTATGTAGGCATAACATTGAGAATGCTTCATACTACTCATTATTTTTGTAAGTAGGTTGAATGAATAAGAAAAAAATCATCTTTTTTTATTCATTTGATTTATTGCACACAACAGCTATGAAAGCGAAACACAAAATGACTTGATAAGATCTTTAGATAAAATAACTGAAGAGAAATATTTTTGAAACATGCATAAACGACCACTGATGTCATTTTTTGTTCACTTTAAGTATTTGAAAAAGCCGTGGAATACTTACAATACAAATAGTATCATTTTTATTACAGCCTCATAAACAGATGTTTTTTCTTGTTCTACTTATAATTGCTTTGTTGTGATAAGGGTAACAGTAGATGGTTGACTTTCCTCTTTATTCGTTGACTCCACCTTTTTCAATCTCTTTTTCCAATTCAATGGTAATGGGCAACAGTCTTTGGCTAAATCAGCTCTAGTACGTCCTGTAATCCACCATGTTTGCATATCACCTTTACCCTGATGAAAGAAGAGGCAAGGAAGAAGGAACACATGAAGAAAATTGGATATTCTAACGTTAACGTATCAAGGAATTAGTTGAAAATATCAGACACAAAAGTTGCTACACGATCTGCATTGAGGTAGGAAAACAAAATCCTAGTGGGCAAGTAGTCATTGGGGAAGCTCTATAAATGATAACTGAAAAAAACGAGCCATTTATACAGCCTAATTTCACCATTTAACTCATATGGGACATCTTAGCAGCTTGATAACTAGACAAAGATTGAACGCTGCTGTTAAAAAGCCTTTTTAATCAACTAATGTCGTAATAACTGAGAATATGAAGTCAGTATATCTATCTAAGCCCTTTGAACATGTGAAAAGTGATGTCACATCCCACAGTATTTACTAATTTGAATCTACATGTGGCCACACATACATAGGGAGGACTCATAGATCTCTGCAAGCAAGGGCTGGCTCCACAGCATATTCCTAAATGGCTCCAGAGACTAATAGAATCCCCAGAACCCATTAGTAGTGAGAATAGGAGACCTAGCTCTTATATTGCGAAACATATTATAGAGACAGGACATAAAATTGACGTTTAAACATCTTTTAAACCTATTTATCTATAAAACGTGTTTGGGGCGTATGCTAAAGTTTGTGGAAGCCCTAGCTAGCAGTTAGAAAGTCTAAACCGCCTTTATGTGTTCAAAGCAACAATTCGTTATCACACTAAACCTCCCTTGGTAAACTTTGTTTTGATACCGGTCAGTGCAGATATGCCATTAGCTCTGTCATTTGGTTTAGTGATCCTTATTGTTATTTTGACATTCAGTATGTCTCTTCAGCTTGATCTAAGTCTATTTTCTCACTTCTTAACTCTTTATTAATTTCATATATATTCCTATGTCAAGTCCGTGTGTGTGTGTGATCAGATTGTTCGAAATGTGTTGAGCAAATACATTACACACACGATTCAGACAAATTACGTCTTCTTGTTGCTTTATCTAGCAAATCAAGCCAATTTATCAACTAGTCCAAATCTGTGCCTTCGATCGTGAGCAGATTATGATAGCCAGGGAAATGTTTACTCATTCATCCGTGATTGGGCTGAGAGGTCCAAAACAGTTTCGACCACTCTATACTACACGAATAAGCTTGCTTTCTTGATCGACAACTTTTATGGTATCAAGCAGATCACATACTATGATCTGAATAATTTCTGTTTCTAAAAGAAAGTTCGTTGAAATTTTACCTCATCGAACTGTATAAATTGTCAATTACAGATTATTCTGCAAACTGGGAATTCGATTCATGGAATTATAATGGCCTTATAGTTCATTGAAGGCTTGTAACATGCTTATCCAGCATAACATGTTGCATATATGGTGTGTAATTCTCAGCATCTGGTACAGTATTACACCTAATTTACTCAATGACAACAGAAACAAAGAAAATATATTAGAGGATTCAGGTAACAGAAATTCATAATAGCAGCTTTTTGGTATTAAAAGTCAAATGTGTAGAAAACCTATAGGATGATGACAATAATGTTAATCATTAAAATCATAAGAGAATTCAAATTGTGTCACCATAAAATACAAATAGGTGTAGGTTATAAGTTTTACTCTTAACCCTTTCTCTATCACAGAGAACGCAGGTCAAATAGAGTATCCTCCAATCAATCAAGGAGTATCATTGAGTCTTTCTACTTGGCTGTTTGAGTATATAGTATTTTATAATGACTTTTGATGGTACCTGATGAGATTCAACGGATTCAGCGGGAGGGTTTTGGATAGACAGGGTGTTGATAGTCGGATTATATGAATTTAGACCGATTTTCGATGAGTTCAAGTGTCTGTCGACAACAGTAATAACCACTTGTCCTACTGACAGCCTTTATCACCCTTCACAACACGGCAAAGTCCTTCCTAAATGATCCAGGAAAGAATAAGGGGTTCAATAAAGAACAATATGTAGGATACAAGAGTTAACAAATTGTAAAAGTGGAGACTGAGTGATTCCTGACTGTTCAATGGAAGTTTTTTTTAAAAAAATAAACAAGATATAGTATGACCAAGAAAGATAAGAGGATAGAACGAGACCAGGGTATTTTATACTTGGCTTAGTTTCTATTTCAATGTCCTCTTGCGAATGGACCAGTTTGTATAGATCAAGTTAATGTCTGAAGGTGAAGTTAACTGTCTGACATTTAGAGGGATTTACGGTATGATCATCCAGTTTGGACCACTGCCTTATATTCGACAAAAAGCTGTTCAGTTTGGACCATTCAGATCACCAGTGTATTTAACCAAAACATACTACAGTTATAGAAAGATTTATTCTAGAGCTATCTAAGAAAAGATGTTTAAACTGCTAATATAGGACTGATTCACTGAAATACATTCATAGGACGGAAAAGGTAAATATTCTTGTTTTCAAGGAAACGTGTGATACCACAAAGAGGTAAAGAATAGCAGTAAGAGTCACAGCGCAGGGTCGTGAGGGACATGAATTCGACAGAATAGGTAGTAACCATTCCAAAATTTGCCAATATTCACCGAAAAAATATATGTAATTCGCAAGGAAAAATTGTACGCCGGTGGCACAGTGGTTAGGACTCTCGCTGACCATGCACATGGTCCGGGGTTCGATCCCTTGCCGACGCACACTTGATATCATTGGTCGGGCTGTAAAATTTGGGCCACCGATATCACATGCTGTAAATTCCATTCTGTTGTGGAATGAAGCTATAATCAAAATAAATAAATAAGTTAGTAACTTTTCAGTTCAAATGAAAAATATAAGAATAGTATTAATGAAATAATAAAGTTTGCGAGAGCAACATGTCAGGGAGACGAACATAAAACAGGTGACAACAGTTAACATTTAATGTAAAAATGGAAACAAATTTCTCGATTCAGTGAGGATACAAAGTCAAAGTAGCAAGGTGAGCCAATGAAAGAAAATGCGAAATAAAACGAGGAAATGCGAAGTTGTTTACACCGGAGACGACGAAGACCAAACTCGATAAAGGTGCATCTGTTGTTTAAGGACCTAGACATGTCTACAACTGGTGGATGGTGGCTAGCAGTGGAATCCAGGATGCACATTTCGTGCTATTTGGGACTCGTCAGCTGAATGTACCTGCATTTCTCAGTGAGTGATGATGTTCCCACCGAGGCTCGAACCCAGTGCCCATAGTTTCAAACGCCAAAGCGTTATCGACTAGACAACTTGAGCCCCGAATTGAATTTTTGATTTTCCCGTCGATTGATTGGACCGAAGTGCTCGGTCTCAGGTTGACATGGCGGCTTCTTGTGCAGATGCTTCGACGATGTCTGGGGATTTGATTTGTATACATGTCATTTACTAGGATTGGAAAGCATGGAGGCGAAAAGTGTCAATATCTAGTTAAATAATTTATATGAAGCATAAATGAACACTCTTCTAGGATTTTCATTAGTATAAACCCCTTTACGATAAATTATCAGAGTATAAAAATATCAAAAGGATGGAATAATTTATGAGCATACTAGTGAAGATGCAAAGGTGCTTTCTGTTTAACAGCCTTGAGCGTTTTGAACTCAAACGTAGTTTACAGGAGTTGAATGATATTTTGATTGTCAATGATCCGATGTCACTGAAATGTGTGAAACAAGCGGGTTTATGAAAACCATACAGAGAAGTCCACTAAGGCTATAACACCGTTTTGCAGGAAATATGGAAGGATTCATCCTTTATTTAGCACTCCAAGATATATATCATACGTAATGACCATAGCATTATGACTTGTGATGATCGAACCACATGTCATCAGCAAAATGATAAGGTGATCTTCCACAAATTGGCCGAAGAAGTAAAGGAAACAGGACTTCAAGTAAACATTGAGGAATCAGAAGTGATGAAGATACCCTACAAACAATAGAAAACATCAGTTGCCACCGATTGAGAGGAAATCGTCTTCTTCACTTATCTTGGTTATAGGCACTTGAAATATACGCGGCACCTGTGAGAATGTCCAAACAGGATTTGATTGGAGAAAGCAAGGAAAGCACTCACTACTTTGATATCAGAGGGGAGATCTACCGCAATCAGCACATGGAAAAAGATCCAAATTTTTGACATTAATGTCAAGCTTGTTCTCCTATACGGCTTAGAGACTTGGCGCTCCTGTCACTGAAAGCATTTCCAACAGGCTACTACTGACTTTTACTCGATTCTGAAAATCATATCGGTGAGGGGAAAGGAGAAGAAAGCAGCAAGGAATGGCTGTGTTAGTAAACTAGCCAAATACCTATTGTTCAACATGTATACAGAATGAAGTGAAGGTGAACTGGACGCACAATGAAGACAGTCTAAGGTGACATCGCACACCAGACTGTCGATTGAATACTAAATGAGAAAGATTGGGGTGAGCATTCACAGGTGACATGAAGAAGACCATGTAAGAAGGGGGAGGAGGAAGGAATAACAGCTGGTGGGTAGCTGTGGAGCCAGCTGGAGGTGACTTTAGAGAACCGAGGCCAGTGAAGATGTCCCGCTGAGGCCTTATGTTTCACTTGGAATGCAAGGGACAAATACCAGTGTTAAAGTTTCATAAATTTAGACACATATTGCAGCGTAAATTTATTGTTTGGTAGTATTAAGAATATCAAAAAAAAAATTAAAAGCAAAGGGTAAGGCTTTGTACAAGTAAAAATGTTAAACATTAAAAAAAATTACGTCTTTTCGGGATGATATAAGTTCAGCACAGTTTCCCAGCTTACCTTTACCGTTATAGTACCACGTTTTTCAAAAGTGAATCCTCCAAGTCGTTCCAATATAGCGTGCGTTGTTTCTGAGCAATGGATTTTGTAAGCTTTTTTTGGTATAGAAATATAAAAGACAGATTATATTCAATGCGTATTTAAGGTTTTTGATTCGCAAAAGATTGTGAAGGAAAAAAACCTCATCAAAAAGCTTATTAACACTATAAATCATTCTAGTTGACCTGTATATACAACAGGAACTAAACATATTGGACATTTTTCAACCCAGTGTGAAATATATTTGGATTGCATCTGTGAAACACCGCTGTAGAAATATGGAGCCTATGACTTTGAACTTAGACTTCCATATTACCTTCAGTGTCAACCATCAACTAATCAGTAATTCAAATGCCCGATGAGAAACCGACTGAATAGTGACATCATTCATCTAACCAACTTCGTGTTCTGTAGTAAAAATTATTGGTAAAGTTTTCACCTACAGATGACTTCCGTTTAACAGTTGGAGAGTCAGCCATTCTACCTTTCAGGTCAGAAACCAAAATAAATGACTAACTTTGAATGGGAGAGAGGAGTTACATCATGTAAACATTAATTTCACTGAGTGACGTTTTGTAACTATTATGATTTGCCAAGCCTAAGAAAAGTCGAAACGATGATTGCAAAACAATAATATTGATTGTTCCCCCTAGTTACTAGAAGAACATGAGGCTTCAGCTGCACGTCTCCATTGCTTCTGTTCTCCACCAACGTATCCACCCGGCTCCACATATGCCCATATGCTTTCATCTCCTCTTCACATGACCTCCTTCATGTCACCGTCGCACTGATGACCAACTCGCCACTTCCCATTCGGGTTCAACTCCAGCAATGGCCTGGCGTGTGATGTTACTTGATAGTTTGTTTTCTCAGAGTATGACCATTCCATCTTCATTTCTTCCTGTATATTTGTTGCACATTTGGTTCCTGCTAGGTTGGTTCGTTCCCAGAGGTCACTCCCTGTTGTTGATCTTTTCTGGCCAGCCATCTGATGTTGAGTAGCATTGAGCGAAGACAGTTGTTGATAAAGGTCTGTAGTGTATTCCAAGTGGCCTCAGTGATGCGGGGCCAAGTCTCTCATCCGTATAGCGAGTAGCACTGACTTCACATTTGGGTTGAAAATCCGGATCTTACTTTTCATGCTGAGTGCTGTTGATCTCCACGCAGACTTCAGAGTACTGAGTGCTTGCCTTACTTTCGCGACCCTCACTTTGATATCCTCATCCGTTTCGTTCGCCTGTAGTTGAAACAATACTTCTCAGGTAGGTAGGTAGGTAGGTAGGTAAATGAAGGAGGTTGGTTCCTTCAGATTTCTCCCATTTATGCTGATTGTTGTCTGTTGTTGTCGCTGTTGGTATTAGCCAGGAATCTTCATCACCTCTGTTTTCTCCATATTCACTTGAATATTTGTCTTTTTGATGCTTCTTCTGTCAACGTGTTGTTTCTCACTTGTACATCTTCCAGTCTGTGGGAAATCATACACACCTATTGGATTTCATTGTGCCAAATAAACAAAGTATTTCCGAATACTATGCGTTCATTACTGTGTAGATGATTTTTTGAAATCAGTAAAGATAGTTATATCAAGAGTGATTGAGTGGCATGGAATTAAAAGAATTACTTAATTTTCTGAAATATTTGTGAAGTGTAAAGTGAGTTTACATCTTCATTGGTCTCGTCAATGTAAATATTTTACGTATATCTTATAACTCTCACCTAGCGAATGTCACCGGTGGTTTGGTTGATCCCACAGGCCACGCATTCTCACCAAAACTCAAAATAACATAGTCCTGCAGCCAGCCACTAGTGAGCATCAGATTTATTTTCAAGTCTACCTGCAGGGTTCTGACCTTTTTCATGGTTGATCATGGACAAATATCAGTCTGACAACCACTCAATAATAATAATTCAGTATTATAATTCAGGGGTTCTAGTATGGTGCAATTAGCTCACTGGGCAACGAGTTTGACCTCATAACCTAAAACCTGGGATTAAATCTGTAATGGGATTGTTGGTGCGTACTGACGAAGAGCCCCAAACTAGGTCTAAACAGCTGTCCAGTACTGCCTAATTTTCAATGGTCTACCAACTGATATTAATCTATGATCAAAGTTGAAGTAAGTCAAACCCCTAACAACTGGCTATTGAAGAATAAGTCGCATAAGTTAGTTATTGAAGTCCTTTTGGAAAATAATTTTATTTCTTACTAACTAGGGTATAGACTTTTCGGGCCTCGGAATTTAACCTAATCTCCCTGTAGTTACCAAAGCAATTTCAGCTTATAGTTCTTCCTAATATTATTTTATTCCTCTCTTATTATTTTCATCCTTTGTTTGTTATGCTTCTACAGTTTGAGTTAAGCGGAACAGCTTAGGTTTCACCATCGTCGCTTGACTGCCTTAGGGTTTTCATATTATCTAATTGATCTCCCTGTTATCAAATAAGCTCAGTTGTGTCACGTCAACTATTTTCTGTTGTTTCACGAACTCTGATGGAAAATACCGAATTCAGCAAAGAGGTCTCTTTCCGTAACTTCACTTCATAGCTCTACGGTTATTTAGGGTGTTTATATACACAACAGGCATTGACAACAAAGGTCAGATGTCATTCTTAGCCGGTGACAAAGTAAGTCAAAGTGGATAAGTAATAACAATGTATGTAATACTGTGGATAGTCTTACACCTTCGGGAGGTTGACAACTAATTATTCTATTATTAATATTGTTTCCTATAATTCCTAGAGGAACTTAGGGCTTCAGTTGTACGTATCCACTGCGTTCGATTCTCTGCTAAAGTTTTTATCTGCTTTCCCAGGTCTTCCCACATGCTTTTATCTCCTCTGAGCATGACCTCCTCCAAGTCACCCTTGGGCGGTCCACTCGCTACTTCCCTTTCCTTCTTGTCTAGTGATGCCACTTGATAATTTCCTCAGAGTATGGCCAATTAACCTGATTTTATCCTGCTTATTTGTTTTAAAACCGGTTCCTGTTTGGTTAGCTCCCAGAGATCCCTGTAGCCGAACTTTTCTGGCCATCTGATCTTGAGTAGTAGTATTGAGTGAAGGCAGCTGTTGATGAAGGTCTGTAGTTTGTTTGAGGTGATCTTTATGACGCGCTAGCTAAGTCTCTGATCCGTATAGTACCACTGATTTCACATTGGATTTGAAAATCCGTTTCTTATTTTTGATGCTGAGTGCTGTTGACCCCCCACACAGACTTGAGAATAATAAAAGCTTTTCTTGCTTTCCCAATCCTTGCTTTGATATCCTCGTCAATTCTGTCCACCTGTAGTTGAAATAATGCTTCCCAGGTAGGCAAAGGAGATTGTTTCTTTCAGGTTCCTCCCATTTATGCTGATTGTTGTCTGTTGTTGTTGTTGGCCAGGAATCTTCATCACCTCTGTTTTATCTATGTTTACTTGGAGTTCTATCTTTGATGCTTGTTCTGCCAACTTGTTGCTTTTCACTTGCATATCTTTCAGTTTGTGGGAAATCAGACATATATTATGAGCGAAGTCCAGATCCACCAATTTTTTCGTGAGGGTACATTTTAGGCCTGTTTCCTAGCTGCTCACTGTCTGTCACATTAGCCAATCTACCGCAATCAGGAAAATCATTGGCGATAGTAGACAGCCTTGTCTTACTCCCGTCTTTACTTCGTAGGATTCCGTAAGTTTTCCGTTGTGGATTACTCGACATGCAGCATTGTCTAGTAATTAATCATCATTTGGAGATGACTTATGGGAAACAATAGAACAATGAGTTTTGAAAACAGTCAACAGCTTAATTTTGGAGTACATAATTCCTTCTAGTTAGCACGGACTTCATTCAGTTATGTATAAAGCAGGATTAAGATATTCGAAAGGCGATCGCCTACATCTTTTTATGTAACCCACGTTGTAGCAATTCGTAAGGGGAGACGTGAATATTTTATTCAGAAACGATTTATCTAGCCTGTTTTACTACTGTGGTCTTAGTGTCAGTATTCATTTTTCTGAATAGTTTTGGAATAAACTCAATGTAATCAGCTTTATAGTTGTCTGAATTATAATTCACGTCGAACCATTGAAAACCGTGAAGTTATCATCGCAATTCTTTATCCTGCCCCAAATTTAGTTTTATCAGTAAACGCTAAATGTTCTTTGTGAACAACGATTGTGACTTCGAGTTTCCGGTCCATGAAGTTTGCTGTATTGCTTTGAACTTCAGTGACTCAGGCTCCGAATATAGACAGACAAAATCATGAAAGTGGTAGGCTGAGAAACTTGTGCAAAAGTTAGAATCATATTCTGGCGGTACACAGGAATAAATCTAACGCTTGCACAAAATGAATATTATCATTCGTAAATTGGAAAGAATTTCAGAAAGCACCAAATCTAATAATATTTTCTTGCTAAAACCAACAAGTTGAAAGAAGAAGCAGGTAGCGAAAACAGGACGCCAAATGGACATAGAACAGATAGAGGTGATCAACATGCCTAACCATAAAAGCAAGCATCAGTCAGCCTTTAGTGAGAGAAATTTGGAGGAAGTAACTTCTTCCATTTATCTGGACAGTATCATTTCTCAGTTACAGGAAGCGCGAATGGGGACGTCAAAGTCAGGGAGAATTGAAAAAACAAAACACACCTTCATTACTCTGATATCAGTCAAGGAGTCTACTTCACTTAACAAAGTGAGCATCAATCAGATTTTAAACAGTAATGCGAGGTCAGTCAGTTCTTCTATGCTGTTCAGAGACTGAAGATGTCACCAAAACCTCTTCAATCAAGGCTTTAGGCCTTCGCTCAAGTGGAACCCGAACGGGAAGCCACCAGCTGAGCGTGGCCCTGAGGGAGATACAGACAAGATAACAGTTTATCAACAATCATGGAGACAAGTAAAGACGACTGCAAAAGACAGGAAGAAATGAAGATGTGCTGTTGAGGCCCCATGTTCCCTTTAGAAACTAAGGGAATAATGATAATAATATCTCATGTAACCTTCAGAATTAAACGATTTAAGATAAAAACAAAGGTTATCTAATATTGTTACCCTCTCCAGTACTTTCCATTCGACTAGCTGTGTTGACTGTATCCCCAAATAAACAGTATCTTGGCATTTTCAAACCGACTACACCGGCACATACTGGACCTATTTAAGTTATACAAAGAAACGGAACAACAATACTCATTAGAATGCAGTGAAACTTAAAATCCGGTAAAATTTCCACTTAACATTAAAAGGAAAATGAACTCGACAATCTTTTATATTAAAAAATTCTCCAAAGATTTTAACTCTTCATCAAATAAGCCTATTGAAGAATTTGTGAAACCGTCTAGTCACTGATGGATCTAATCGTGTTTGGAATTCTTATCTCCCCAAGAAAGGCAATCAGTCTATCTCTTGCCAGGAGATTAAAGGACAAATATCAAACATCTCTTTAGGCAATTATGACTACATAAATTATGTACATTCTAGCGCCAGGTGATTTAGACAGCGCAGATAGATTAAACTCAGATCTACGTATTTTGGCATCGGTGCACCTGAAACCGACTTTGTGTACATATATTTCGACAAAAGGTTTCTTTTGTGTTAATCTCTTATTAAATTCTTAGTTATCATGGTAATTAATCACTATAGTATAAAGATATTATTAAAAGTATTTAAGATATTCCAAGTTTGATATTTTGTTTGGTATGGGATACTGTGAAGTGATTCAATAGCTCATTATGATATAAGAAAAAAATAGAACTGCTTGTATTGCGATAAGCTCTTGAATTTAACTCAAAAGAGTATTGCTTCACTAAATATTTAGTTCCTGTGAATGGTTTCAGTGTTATATGCATGAATTTTGACTAGATTACAGACGCGTAAATTACGTCCATTTATACGTCAAGTTAATATTGGTGATAATGGTAACAACTTTACACAGTGCTCAGAATTTTCGGAATAATTTAGTGTAAAACCTTTTTCTCCTCTCCCAGAATCTTCAAGTTAGAATAACAATCTGCAATATATGATGAAAAACACTGTTATTCAGTCCGAAGCATCAAGTGAAATCTTGTGATAACTTTTCCTGTCTTTCTGAGAAATTTACCCCAATTAAAAATGAGTATGAGTACATTCATTGACTCAAGTATCTAACTGAGCAGTTGAAACCATACAAATCAAAGTAAATATAATGCATTGTGTTGAGTGGAAATTTAAGTAATAACCCATTTGATTTAAGTAGGCTACTGTAAATTGATTAATATTTATGCCTTTACTAAAAGTAGAATTGAATCAAACGACACCACATTACATGTGGATACTTAAACTGTTACTTTTAGGATTCATTCGATAACTAGAAGAATTAAAGAATACAATTCAAACTAAACAGCACTTAGAGTTGCTTCCAGGGGGGCTACAATCAATAAGACAGATCACCTTCCTAAGAAAACATATTTGGAATATCAATGACGTTTACTTTTTTCCGCATTGTTTATTTAAACTAACTTCCTAGTTGGTGCTAATCTAATTTGCATTAAAGTTCAACGGTTTCGATGTTTGTTAAAAAATTTATGAAAAATGTAATCAAAATCACAGAGAAACAGGAATTTACCATATAAGAACCTGTAGTTCAGTGTACTGAACCTTCCACAACTTCATACAAGTAACAAAATTGTTTAAGTTTTTCAATTATGAAGTCAATGTGCGTCGGTGGCACAGTGGTTAGGACTCTCGACGACCATGCACATGGTCCGGGGTTCGAGCCCACACCGGCGCACACCAGATATCTATGGTCAGCCTGCGAAATTCGGGCTACCGATATCCACGCTGAAAATTCCATACTTGTACCAAAAATACAGTGTGGAATCAAGCTGTTACCAAAAAAATAAAAAAATCCTTCAGGTTTTTATAAAAGAAATATTTATGGTTTGCGTTTGGTTAACTCAGAAGGTATTTATTATTGTTGTAGTATCGTATTTTGAAGCAATATCTAAGTAATTGAGTCAAAGTACTAATTTGTGAGGTATATCTTGGTTGTCTGTAAAAATACAGTGAACGCCACTCTAGGTCTCATGCAAAAGGCTGCCTTTATTTACTGATTATAATGTCAATGTTTAAAGGAATCCTTATCTGAGATTATTCCTTTTCATTATTCTGTGTTTTTTTTTTGTTGCTGAGTAAATGTCGTTTTATCTGCTATTAATTTCTGGATAATCATCTGCAAGACTCAATGTTTTTTTCCAACTCTATGGCAATAAATCTACACTATGCGTAGATGAGTCATTTGAAAATGCTTCAGCATCTGATACTTACCTGAATGTAAACCTACTCTAATTTTTAATGGTTCATTTGGTTTGTGCGGAATAACAAAACTATGCGATACACTGACTAAATCAAGAGACATATCAGCGATAGCGATAGCATGACGTTCACCATTCCTTCTTGGAACACCAGATGCAACCATATCTACAATGATAAATAAAGTTATTCAGTATTTGTAAGATAAGTATATATACATATATATGTATGAACGAGCGTCATTTTACCTGCGAAAAAGCTCAGAAAAACGAATAATTGATGATCTTAGCAATATAAAACAATATAAGGACAGATAAAATAATTTGCTAGCTTCCTGTAAATTGTCACCTTGTTCCAGAAAAAATTGAACTCGTAAACTCTTCTCTAAATTTTTAATTGATATATAAAGGGAAAGAAATGAGTTTGAAGAGACTAGGTGACACTTTAACTGAAGTCAAACTGTTATAACGGTAGGGCATTAAATGAGGACGTTGTCGCCTTGTTCTGTCTGCGCCTGACTAATATGCCTATCTGCTTGTGGTACCTTCCGATTCAGTGAACCACGCAAATATCAAAAGACAAAGGCTGGCCTGTGACTGTGTATTGTAGTACAACAACAACTATGACAAGAAAGTTATGGTATTTATACATTTCTACAACAATATGGACAGCTAACAGCATTTGAAATAATTGATCGTAAAAATCAATATCAAAGTGCGTGAGAAATGATAATATACCATCTATGCGAGATTAGCAGTCAATAACAAAATGCGTGTGAATGATGATATACCATTTATGCGAGATTAACAGCCGTTGAAATAATAAATCAGTAACAAAGTGCATCGGATCCTATCACAAACTTGTTCCTCCTTCTTGAAAAAACCAAATAAATGTTAGTCAAGTTTCTCATTTCAAATTCCAACATCCGTTAAGCATTTAAATGCAGCCGAACTAAATACAAACACATTGTGGATGCATATAAGACGTAGTTTTGAAGTTTGAATATGCGAGGTATTCGCCTTCGTCCTATGATGATTAGAACAGGACTTAAACATTAATGCCTGCTACGGTAGGTAAACTTCTTGATATGTGTGTTTTGTTTTTGACAGTCTGTTATATTTTGCTATGTGTATATGGATCGATATTCCATTATTACTGACATGCTTTTCTCTGTCCAGTAACTAAATAAACAATGTATGACCTTGTCATCACATGACATTACAACCAATCATGGTAAGACGTTATCTTGTTGGATCATGTGTATTAGCCATTTTCATATCTACTCTTGCTTTATTATTTTTGTTTATTCTTGTTCCCACGTTTCGTACATACGTACCAATTCACTCACACACTAGTGTGACAATTATTTTCCTTGTCTGGGAAATACAAGTATCATCGTAAACCTGGTGGTCTTCTGATTTCCCTCTTTCCGCGTCAGGACTATTAACTACTCGACGAGCACATAACACTTCTATAAACTAGAGAGTGTAAATAATACCTTTATAATAAACAAAACTGGCATGGTACAGTCTGAACGCAAGATTTTAACATTTGAGTCCTGCTGTATAGCTGATCAAAACTTCGTTGAGTTAGTCACGGTTAAAATGGCCCTGACGATGGTAAAAAATTAGTTATCTGAAATAAAATCTGAGTTACTCAACAGTGAGGCGGTTAGGCATCTGTAAAGGTCATTATTCCTTCTCAGTTAAAAACTAAGTACTGCGAATCAAGAAGAATATTATCTCCAAAAGGGTGAGATTAAACTGTGTTCACAAGAATCATATACCAGTACTTCCAACTGACAGTTGAGTATCAAAATCATCTTCATTCACTCAAACAAAATCACATCACAAAAGAACACATTATCAGTATCCTTATACAACCATAACAAGAAGCATTAAAATTAGTGATTAAACAGAAAAAAAAGACAAATCATAATGGATTAAGTGAACAAATGATATGAAAACGTCAAAATAAAGTTATGCAATGTACGATAAAAACGGATAATTATAACAAAGTTCCCTGGAGGCCTGCTTAAAACTTGCACTACCAAAAAACTTTCATCTCTCTCTCTCTCTGTTGCATACATTTGCTCTCATTCAATTTGCTTTAATAGATTAAAGTGTGACTTCTTATGGTATTGATTACCGACTTTTGTGTGTATTTAAGTTGCTTACAAGCTACTGACTCGCAAGTTCCTACTAAGCCTGAGGAAAGGCCTGATTGTTGGTGACAGCAGCGTGTACCAATTCATGAGATAACTGTCCTTCAGTTATGTTCTTGGGTCTCAAAATGTACTTCTCAACATCTCATAATTGGTTTTCAACCAGATATCGTGTATTGCTTGAAGGAAGGAGAAAAAGCAGATATATCTTAATGGAATGGTTTGTGCTTCAGTTCAGAAACCGTTGTGTCACGGGGTACACTGTCACTTAATATTTTACTTGAAGATATTGTACGAAAGGATAATATCATGCTAAAACCTCTTCTGAAAATTCTGTACATTTTATAAATACTCTCCAGGATAAAGATATTACTATTATAAGTATCACTAACGTGATTAGATTGTTTAGGAGGTATTTTCAAAAAGGAATATTCCATTACTATCCTCGTGAATAACTAAAGTAATTGTTTTGGGAAACAAATACATAAGTCGTAAGAAAGGATGGTTGTTCACTAGCAGCATGAGAGCGCATTTTCTCAAGCGGCTGTAAAGATCTGAAGTCAAAGTTATAAAAAGTTCCGTAACATTGAGTCGTATAGACTACGCACATGATATCGACTTTGTTGAGTCATTTACTGTTATCACCAGACGAACAAAAACATGCTTGCAATTGTGGATACTTGTAAGATTAGAGTTTATAAACTTGGTCTGTGTGTATAGAAGGAAATGGTGGTCACTTTGAATCAGCTATGGTAATGTGTTTTGATAATAATTAACAACTAATTGCCTGTCTTTGAATGATTTAACTGGGCTGTAATCCATTATTACGTCAACTTTAATCCATTATGCCCCTTCTCCCTTATTTAAATCAACTTTGCCTGTTTATACAATCACGCATTTCGCTTTGTATGGCTGATTCATTTGTAATGCAATCGAATTCGCATTTTTCAAGTTGATTCTCTGATAACCTGTGTTACAAACAAGAGAAACTGTCGTCCGGTGTCTAGATCACTTCAACCTGGTTAGCAATCACTCAAAGTGGTACCTTACTACTCGTCTGAATCAGTGAGTAGCATACACAGTCATGCACTCATCATAAAGGTTTATTTATTTATCAGTCATATTTTCCACTGTATTTCTGATAGTAATATATATATATATCCATGTATGTAGAGTATTCTGCCGAAGAGTTCTACCCAAGTTTGATGAATTCATTAAACCTCACTTCACTAATATTTGTGGCTTGTTCTAAATTCGTATCGCGAAATAATTATTTCACCTGAGATTATGCTTGTCAAATTTTGTAACATGTTCTGTGTAATAATGTTTTCAGTGAAGAATATGTTGTTTGCTAAATGGACTGGAATGTCTTCATCACTGACTTTATGTATTTTCCTTCCTAAATAAATACTAGCATAGAGTTATACCTCTGCTTGTTTTAGATGCCACCTACTGCTGTCTAACTTTAATCTCTTTTATGACCTTTTACCCTTTCTACTATTTCGGAAAAATGCATGTTTTAGAGATTAAGGGCTGAACGAATAACTAATTACTTATGAAAACGTCAAAATATCGTTAAACAAGTTGGTTGGTGTCAGGGTTTCATCATAAGCTGATATCGGTTAGGGAACCATTTGAAAACCTAGAAGTACTGGAGATTTGTTTCGTCCTAGCCTGGGGCTCTACAGTAGTACTCACCCACCGCCTGGGTTCGAACCCAGGACCTTCTAGTTACAAAGGCGAGCTCATAAACCATTCACTCAATGAGACCTGATTGGAATGACCAATCCATGAATTCCAACTTCTGCCAATTCGCGACAGAACGCGACCATTAGCCAATGTCTTCGGTGAGTATTTTTCCTCACACCCGACCTACTGCACCCTACTGGACACGACATGTAACTGGACGAAACAACTGTCCAGAACTTTCAGGTTTTTCAACGGTTCTCTAATCGATGTGGGCTCATGAAGAAATCCTGTAAGAAGTCAGCCAAAACCCTACAAACCAATGGCTGAAAAACAAGTTGGTATTTAGGACTTTGTGGTTTTCTAATCATAGAGTCAGAATTCTCAGTGAAATATAACTCAAAGGAACTAATTAATATGAAGACAAGCGAATCATACTAACTTACATGCATCTCCGATTGTTTCTACTTTGTAAACATCGTATCGGTCGATTATATCATCGAACTGAGTATATAATTTATTCAGAAATTCTACTACCTGAAAATAAATTTGATAAAGATGAAAACTAAATTCATCTATTGCATAATTAATTAATAATGTCCTCTTGAATATTTCTGAGATAAATTCACAGTATTAAACAACTCTATTTCTATTAGAATGTGCGTTATGATAATTTTTTTGGGTTCCGAGTGGAATATAAGGATTCAGCAGCAGACATACATTTCATTCTGTTCCATGTAGTTTTTTATTCACGATTCACTTCACGATTGTCAGTATGATTTCATTTCCCCCTCACAATATCTCCGCCATTTCACTTTTGAACGTGCAACCAACTCGTCATTTCTCATACACGTTCCACTCAACCATCTGCTCAGAATGTGTCCGATCCATCTTCGTTTTTCTTTTGGTATATTTCTTGAGCGATAGGTTTTTGGTTGACCGGTTTTCAGATTTCCTTGTTTCTAGTCCTTGGTGATCATCTGATATTCAGTATGGAGCTACGGCAGTTGTTGGAAATGATTTTTGTGACCTGCGCTAAACTTTTGAATTAAATAGCAGTAACAATCCTCAACTAGAGGATGTAGCACCCAGAAGGTTGGAACATCTGCGCACGAAGCTTTTTGACGGGGGGACGAGTGTGGTGAGAGCAGGCTGCTAGCTAATTGGTAGTCATTATTCTACGTCAATGTTTAGGTCACTAATATTGGCCGTGAGAAAATATGAAGAAGGCTGGTTCAACAACCAATCACAGCAAACTTAACGTGGGCAAATATGATTCGCAGATAGATGACTCCACTTTTCGCTGTCACCCAAAACAACCAATCAGAAGCCTGTGTTTGTCTGCTTAACTTCTGAGAAACAACCAATCAGAAGACTATGTTTGTCTACTTGCATAAGCTATAATAATGTACAGGAAATATATATAAATACCTGTTGATTTCCGTAATAAAACGATCTGTTGTCGGCCCTTGTCTTCTGTTGTTACACTTGTATTTACATGTATCTGCGGGAGCAGTTACATTGTAAGGACAGAAACAAGGTCATATCTAAGATTTTCTGAGCATGTACCAAAAAGCTTACATCTTAAGGGAACAAATGCTTTAAACAGTGCCACCGCCAGGCATCTCCTCGACACGGGTTATGTGGTGGACGTCGAAAAGTCGTTCAAAATTATCACTAGGCAAAACAGCTCAATTCTCCTTAAGTTTGCTGAAGCCGTTTCAATCAAGCGCCTGAAACCTGATTTATGCGTTCAGAAAGAAGCGGTTATCAGTCTTTCTTTGCTGTGCCTGGCAACTGGATATTTTCACCTCTCTTTCTTCCAAATGCGAAATGCTAAAAGTTTCCACTGTGTATGATTATTATTTTTCGGAATAGTGTTTAACATTGCATATTTATATATGTATATATTTTTAGTGTATGCGTAAATTGATCGATTGATTTTTGTTTAAAATGAGCTCTGTATAAGTATGTCAAAATTGTTGTTGTAGATATATTTAATAATGTCTTTGCCATGTAAGCAGCTGACGAGAAGGCAACGAAATAAAAGATGGTACCATTTTATTCTGCTAAAACTGTAGTTCTTGCTTTGTTCAAATTAAGTGGAATAAATGTATAATAGCAGAGCTCAGTGACTTGACATTAGTGGTGAAGATCCGAGTCATTTTTCCTTATGCTGGGTGCAGACGATTTCCATTCCATATTTCGAATATGTGAATGTCTTCCTTACGTTTACGACAATATACTCCCTGTAGTTAGAACACCGTTGCTTATATAATTATAAGAGGTGACGTTCTTCGAATTTCTCCGTTGATATTGATTGGTGCTTGTTGTTGTAACTGGCTAGGTATCTTCAACTCCAGTATCTTCCCCATGTTAACTAGCAGTCCTGTCTTTTCTGCTTGCCTCTTCTGCCAACTTATTGGTTTCCTCTCGTAGGTTTTTGAGTTTGCGTGTCATCAGACATAAAATCTCCGTGAAGTCCCGATCTTGTTGGTTATTTTTGTTGGTCTAATATATCCACTTTTTCTAGCTTCCCACAGACTACCATGGTCAGGAATATCAGTGACAATAGAAGGTAGTCTTATTTTATGCTTGTCTTCACTTGAATACCTCTGATGGAATGTAGTGGATAGAAATGCAAAATACCAGGATTAAATAACTCAAGTGTTATCTATACTAGAGCTTTTCGAAAGGCTGCAGACTAATTTCATAAAAAGTTGAATGAGTTCTCAGAAGTAATCAAAGAAACGTAGCTTTTGTCTCACCAATATTAAAGTATGCATCTCTAGTTTACCATCAGTTTGTTTTTGGCGATTTCTTGAATAAATCAGAATCTGTACGATGGTACAGGTTTTCTATTTGCATAGAGCTTTCATGAATCCTGTATACTGAGACGACCAAAGGTGAAAGCTTTATAGGCAGACCCACTTAAGAATTATGGTCACCTTTTATGATTTAACTTAATCAGTGCACCAAAGAGCACAGTGTGACAACTTCGCACCGAAAACAATCTAAATGCTTCACAGTGATGCTGAAATTTCCACTATTGAATATGTACTTCTCTCATTAAAAACAGCTAAGTGTAGGAAAGCATATTTTAGTAGGTATATAACAAGAACTTATTCAGTAAGCTTTAAATATGGAGTTAAGTGTATTTTTAAGTGGACTATATTACTACACTGAAAATGATCGAATCAGGAAATTCTTTCAGATTCTTTCAAAAGCAAGGGAATCACTTGACACTGACTTTCAGAACTAAAGAAACAGTGATTTACATACTACCTCAATCAATTATTTGGATGGATAAAGTAGGCAACATACGGTACTGGTGTCTGTTAATGAATACTAGCTATTCATCGTGGATTTCACATTAAAATGTTGCTTCACAGTTGGGTTTATAAAGCTTACAGTTTAGTAAATAATCTACAGAATCCATCACTAGTAAATCGTGACTTCCTTTGAAATCTAAAATGCTTTGACCACAGTATACAACCTGTTTGATATCAAAGTGATCTGAGGTGATTGGGAGGTAAATTGGGGGTCATAGTATGAGGTCATTGAATATTCAACCCCTGAGATGAAATCCGACTACCCATGAACTACTACTTCTGCCATCTCCTCTTATCGTGATATCACCAGCTGACGTTATCAGCGGGTGTCCTTCCGCATGCACAACTTGGCAGACCTCACAGGTCAAGACTAAAGTGCTTTCTGAAGTCCTAACCAAACAGGCATAGAATCTAAACTAGTGAGACGAGGTTAGCTGCTTCCCGCAAATATAATCGATAAATCATAATAATATTCTTTTAGAACACAAACAGAATGATAACTGCATTATTCGTAAGCAGGCATAATCTGTCTATTTCTAAATCTGTGCATCACTTACAAAACTTAACATGACACTGAATCTTCAGTCTGTTAAGAGTTTTAAGCTTCTAAAATTTCCCTATTGTGACAACAGAAATTATTAGGTGAAGGAATAGTGGATACATAAAATACAAATCAGAAGAAGAAAAAAATGGTTACCTCGAATGGTGTAGAACTTGATGAAATTGTTGTAAAGCCAACAATATCACTAAAGTATATTGTACACTGTTCAAATGCTTCCGGTGGTACATTTTCACCGTGTCTAAGCATTTCTACAACTTGTTTAGGAAGCATACCTGTGAAACAATAAAAATAGGATGCTTGATTAGCATAAAAACTGATTTTTGAGGAATTCGAATTTTTTACTGCAGTCTTATTAGAAATCTTTTCCGATGCGTCCGCATTACTTTTATGGACTGAATTTCGCAGATTCCTGAGAAATCTAGCGTAGATATATACCCAATACGCAACAATGTTTGTCATATTTACCAGTGTGAATGAAACTCAGCTATGTAGTATTTACTAGAATGCACTATACATGTGTGTAGGCCGTATATGTTAGATGAGTGGATGTAGATGGTACGAAGTCTAAGTTTCATTCATTTTAGAAATTCATCAGAAAGGAATTTCTGCAACCTAGAAGAAAATAATTTCCCTGCTGAGATTTCAACTAATCTCTGAATGAAAAAATGTCTATTATCCGTTTCGATCACCAGTTGACATCAGTTAGAGTACCATGGAAAAACCTGAGAGTAGTGAACATCTGTTTCGTCTTAGTTTAAGACGTTTCAACAGTACCCACCCATTAGGGTTTCATCCTTGTTAAGAAAACAGTCACTCGCCGGTGAATTTGGCTAGCAGTCGCGCCACATATATCACAAATTGGCAGGATTCGAAATGAATGGGTCATTGGGTTTGGTCCCAATTGCTGAACAGTCTAAGAGCTTGCCTTGTAACAAGAAGGTCCTGGGTTCAAAATGCAGTGGGTGCGTACTACTGAAGATTCTTAAACAGGACGAAGCAGCTGTCCCAGCAATCCCAGGTTACTTATGGTTCTCTAGCTGATGTCAACCCTTGATCAAACCTGTAACTAATGAAATCCCTGCAAAGTAGCACTTGTTAAGTGTCTATTATATCAAGTAAAGAAATAAACTACATTTAAAAAAAATTCTATTATAATTTTTTATTCATTGGGGACTATGAACACACACAACTCTGAAATTGGATCTTATTGGATCTACTAACAAAACATAAAAGACAGTAATTTTCCAACTTACTGTTTAGCAAAGTGTCTGCCATTTTTTGTTCACTTCGAAGTGCTTGTGTTCTATCTTCAATAATAGATTCTAAACACCTAGAATACTCTTTATTCTGAAAAAGTATCAACAGGCAGTCATGAATCACAGTCTTATATTATTAGAAGATAAAAATGTATACAAGAATGATTTACTAAGGGAATCTATTTCAGTACTATTTTACAATCTTTACCGATGACCGTAAAAGAGACTTTTTGCCGTGCATCTGTGGTTCAGTGGTAGAACGCTTGTCAACCATGCCTCACGTGGTCCGGCTGACGCACTCCTAAATTTCACTAGGTCGGTAATAAGACCGAAACAGGTGGAAGACTGGGCATGAGGTTAGCAGCCAAACTTAGCAAAAATAAACATCACTGCAGTCGAAACTTCATAGCTCTAGCTTTAAGTTCTATGTGGTGAGAGCAGACTGCTAGCCGATTGGTTGACACTAATCTACGTTAATGTCTAGGTCACTAATATGGGCCGTGAGAAAATATGAAGAAGGCTGATTCAACAACCAATCACAGCAAAGTTAACGTGGCAAAATATGATTCGCAGATAGAGAACTTTATATGTCAAGGAGTCCCGAAACAACCAATCAGAAGCCTGCGTTTGTCTGCGACCAACAGATGACTGCGCTTTTTCTACTTGCATAAGCTATAATAATGTATGTGAAATACATATAAATACGTGTTGATTTTCATAATAAAATGATCTGTTGCCTGGCCCTTGTCTTCTGTTGTTACACTATGTTTCCCTGAGGACGTAAAGAAACAAAACAGATAAAATAATAGCAATAAATAAAAAATACAGTTCTCGTTTATAGGGACAGAGACAAGCGTTCAACTAGTGAATGTAGGTTTTATCATGGGAAAACCATGTAAAGATTAAAACTTGTTATCGACTCACGAGAACAGTTCTAGATGTGCTATAGGGTGCAGTTTAAAAGCCCTTGTGTACATCTTTGAATTTACAGGATCTTACTTCACAGCAGATACATTATTTTATCCTCTACTGAGTTTTTATGCTCTGAACTTACCTAACGAAAATACCTTTTTAGCTGTTCTCATGATTTAGGTTATACAGGGCGAACGATTAGGTAGGTGTATCCCTAAACTCGAGAAAATTTACCAGCTTGGTTCGGATTGGGTGAAATCAAATGTGAAAATGATTCAATTTTATTACACGTGTTCGAGAAAGAAAATTGCATCTACGCTAGCATAGCCTTTAGGGTTCTAAACCACATACCGAATGGATTATCACGCTCGGTTTGCCTGCATCTTCTACATATAGCTGAAGTGATTGCAGTAAGGTCAACTTAACCAAGACTTTATATTTAAGAAGAATGCATTCAAGCATTGTTTATACTATGGCGAAACTTGGATTAAGATTCCTTCTCCCCTCTAGCAGTGCCTTTACCGCTTTTCTTTTGATTGATTTTTAATTTCTTTCGCTCTTCATCCTTCATTCTAGCATTTGTTTTTCGAGTAATATCGAATTCTCTATGCTATTCTGATTTACTATTAGTGGTGTTACTGTAATGGAGAGATTTTTTTGAAAACCCCCTTTGAACGATCTAATCACAGTATTTGTACTTAATTGGGTGTTGTCCATCTTCTTCCCATACTGTATATCATTATTCTGACATTTCTACACCATGTGCTGATATAACTCCTTTAATTGTCTTCATCCCTGTTTCATATCTTATTTCTGTGTGTCTCTCTGTGGTTGCTCATTGCACTGATAATGTGTTTGTTTTGTGATGTGAGTTTGTTTGACTAGTTCAAGGTCATTTTGAAGTTGAACTGTCTGCTAGAAGCGTTAATGTGTGTGTTCTTGTGAACGGGGTTTTGATCCCACTTTGTCGGGAATATTCTTCTTGACTGTCAGTACTACTTTTGTTCTTATACTGTTATGTGTAGCTGCCTGACGGCAATGTTTGCGTGGTTTTGAGCTTCTGATGTTATTATTGCTGAATAAGAATCACATAAATCTTACAACGAATAGCCGTCTTTTTGCTGTCTTTGGAGGGTTTTGTAACTGTGCATATCTCACAGAGGTTTTGCTAGTCATACAGTGGAACGCGGAGATCGGTTTCCTGCTTTCAGACTATAACGAGTTTGTTTTGATATCCACAGTTACCTCTTCTGTGCATATATGACCGCTTGATTTACTAAGCATGTTATTTCATGATGAGCTGTTTACTGCAATATTACTACTTCCTCTTTCATGTTTATTACATTTTAAACTAACCACTTATCTATTAAATTGAATTTTTGATTTTCCCATCATCACTCACTGAGAAATGCAGGTACATCCAGCTGACGAGTCCCAAATAGGACGAAATGCGCATCCTGGATTCCACTGCTAGCCACCATCCACCAATTGTATACTAACTACTTATCTGACCTTCTACAACACTAAAACGACCTGTTAACTTTCCTTCCCATATTGTAGGAAGCTTTTATGACTAATCACCACCACTCTCACATTTGACAATATTTTGCAAGTGAATTCAGTCCAACAAAATCTGTCACACAAATACAATTTATTTTGTCACCCAATCTACTATTCTACGTAAAAAAAATGTTTCCGTCGCGCATGATTGACGATAATGTAACGATAAATATGAAATTCTCAAGAGTCAATCTGTAGGGATGAATACCAGTTATAATTGCAATAACCTGCGGAGAATTTGCTGAAAGGAATATTCTTTCTTCAAACTGAATTTTAATTCATGATACGGGGCTATTTCACACTCTTAAAAGACTAGGTATTTTATTAAAAAAATGAATTGACCGATGAAAGAGTATTGATCAAAACTGTGTCATGGCAAAGTTAAACTTTAAGCACCACTGACTGCCAGTCAGCGAATCACCTGGAACGCACCAGTCACGTGAAGGAGGCGTTTTTGTGCACGGAACGCGTTTATGAAAAAGATGCATAAAAACTGTAGAAAAGTGTTACAGAGGATACCTTCTCCTCAAATGTGATAAAAATAGCTCTCAGTTTTAGGATGGAATATCAACAGAGTATAATTCCAATGTGGGTAAAATTTATTTTGATAAAGTCCCATAGTGTAATGCAGTAATATTTCCTGAGCAATAAATTGTGCTCGAGACGTGGTCGCTAGTAAATATTACTGTATAACACCGTGAGAATTTATCAAAATAAATGTTATCCACGATGAAATTATACTCCACCACACTGCAAATGTACTATTCCTATATCAATGGAGTAACTTAACTACATTCTATGCTTCTAATTATTTAGGTCTTCTAACCATAACAATAACCCTAATCTTTCCTGAACGTAACCCTAACGCGAAAATATCCCTAAACCAACCCCCATCTAACTCGAACCAACCCTAATGTCGCCTTCATTAGGTTAACTTAACCCTAACTTGTCCTTGGCTTAAGGCGTTACTTAGTCTTTCGCCAGCCTAAGCTGAAACTTGCTAGATACCGTATTCAATAACATAACACTTCGATGAACATATTTTATTGATGATGACAACATTATTGCCAGGTTTCACTAACTTGCTCAGTGAGCGTTTTAAGGCCATTAGTACAGTCGCACTTCATTGGTAGTTAGTGGTGCTTAAAGTTTAACACAGCCCAAATGAGTTACAGAGTTGGCACTGCAAATAAGAGGCTATGTAGCTAAGCAAAGAGATAGCAAATTTACTAACTTCTTTATGCTAAAAGAATTATATACTTGTCGCCTAACATAACCGAATATTTCCCAGTCTCATTACATCTTTACAAACTAATTATTCGTACGCATGTTTTGCTTTCAGGCAGATGCCATCAAATGTTTAGGAATCCCACAAACCGGCACAGAGCCAATAACAGCGAGAACGAATAGTAATGATAATATTAATCATGACTGACTTTTATGCTGTGGAATTTACAAAGTTATATAAATTCATGAACACAAAATATCATAATGCCACTTACAAGTACGGTGCTTGCGTCGGCAATAATCTTTCTGGGATTAATCTCATTCAACCATTCTATAATTGAATTTAAATTTGGTCTAAGTGAAATATCACTCCAACAAGCTTCCATCATCTAGAATTCAAAAAGAAGTTGGAATATGAGAGAAAATAATTCGCTTGTACTACATTCTCTTTTAAACCAACCTTTAATATGAATAAGGCATTTAGAAGACAAATTTAGCAAGATGATATCTTCATTTCGTAGTTTCACTACAATCGCTTTACAACTAACATGGTTCACAATAATAAAATAAAATGCATGACAATTACTCAGTTATATAAAACTGAGGTGCATACTAACGACTAATCATATTTAAATAAGTCAAGTAGTCTATGGTAGGCAAGGGCTGAAGTCTATTGTATTTTGTACGCATAGTTTGGGATGTATGCAATTAATCCAAAGTACTTTCATCACCTTAATCATCATTGTAGTTAGGTGAACTTGTGGGGCATGATGACGTCATTTTACGTTGTGTTGTGGTGAGAGCAGACTGCTAGCCAATTGGTAGACATTAATTTACTTCAATGTCTATACGCTAATATTGGCTGTGAGAAAATATGTACAAGACTGATTCAACAACCAACCCCAGCAAATACGATTCGCAGATATATGGCTTAACTTTCTGAGAAACCAGTCACAAGCAGTAGAGCATAACCTTGAGCAAGAAACAACCAATCAGAAGACTGTGTTTGTCTGCTTGAATAAGCTATAATAATACACATGAAATATATGTAAATACGTGCTGATTTTCCTAATAAACGATTTGTTGCCTGACTCTTGTCGTTACAGTTTTACCGATTTATCAATTTACTCACATGTATAGATATTTCTGTATTAAATTCATACTACTTGTTACTGTGAAGTAGTGAAAGTTTGTTTACTATGATATTCGGGAAATCTCATCTCACTCAATATGTCAACATCGTAATTACTCGACAGGACATAATCAATTGATTATGTGTTGATACAGTTATTGAAAAAATTTCTCAAGGAATATTAAATTTTGTGATTTGTAGGAATTTAGATTATATTTTTAGATTTCTTCTCGAACTAATATTGGAAGCCAGAGAGCATTGGATGGCTGTTTCTTCCTGTTTTGGAACTCCTCATCAGCAAGCGTCCACAACCCATCTTGCAACAACCCTAGGACCCTCAAGTTACAAGAACAAGTTCGGTGATCACTCGACCATTAGTGAAGAGTTCTAAAATAAGACGAAACAGCTGCCTAACCGATGTTGGTTAGTGACTAAACCTAACAAATGCAATCGAATTATTTCCAAATTCCCGTAAATCTAATAAGCTAAATACCGTTTTCCGAACCATTGATATGTACTAGATAGTGCCCTGAAACGGTCATTAGAAGTCGTGACAAGTGGTGACCACCATATATAAAGAAGAAGTAGATACTCATCTAGGGAATTAATGAGCCCAGAGCTAACCATGAGATGAAAAACTCATAATTCACGCGTCAGTGAATTTCGATACAAGTAGATCAATAATCATCGAGCTTAGTCTCGTCACTTGAAGGTCACAAGTTCGACCCCGGTGGATGACTACTCCAGAAAAGTAGCAGAAATCGGTAAAAACAGATGTTCAGGGTTCTCTGATTTGTGACTAAATCTAGCAAGCGAAATTAGAATATCAAATAATGTACAAATGAATGTTTTTTCAGACGAGAATGTCATTAACCTCTTACAACTGGGCTGTAATTTGAGGTATGTAGTGATGCTTTTGCATTTACGAAGAAATACTTAAATCCGTTTTGCAGTAACTAGAATATCAACGAGATTTGGTCAACACAATTACATTTATTTATGTGTTAGGCCTCACTAAATTATCTGCATTATTAATTCCCTTTCGCAATTAAAATTTTGAATATTGATTCGTAGCCGTTTCGTCCTGTGGTCTACTCTTTAATTTTTCCTATGTTGAGGGTTACCTCTATAGACTTATTACCAATTTAAATACTGAACGAGTACATAATACATGAGTAAATATGAAGTTTTCCACTAACGAGACAATAAAGTTCGTTTTCATATGCCTATTTCAGGTGTTACATGTGAATCGATTGGATCAACATTTTTAAATATAACAGTATGATGAATAACATTGTTGTCTACCAGTGATGAATATAAATTAATACTGGATGTTGAATAGTCTCCTACAAGAAAACGTCAAAAATCGATATCTATAACATAATGAACTCATGAAATAATACCACTAATATTGGAGAGTTTGTACTGACTGTTAGAAAATCTGATGTGGGAGTAATTTTCACTGGACCAAAATGTATGACTGAAGTTATCTTAAAAGTAGAAACGAGTTTATTGGATTTTATTGGTAGATTAAATAGAGGTGAGCATTATATGTTATTTATCGAGAAGAAACCAGGTAAATTAACTTATGAAGACAGTTCAAAAGGAGAATAAATACAGTATTTCTACACTTATAAGAGTAGATTACCTGGAATTAAATTGACTAGTTCAACGACCAACATATCTTTAACGGATAAACAGTACCCTTTATATTTCAGCCACAGTCTCATCTACCACACCCTTGTTGCAGATGTTATCTAAAAGCTATAGACACTCATACAACAGGAAGTAGAGATGATTTGATATTCTTTAAAAAGATATATGCAGTATATCCGACAATGATCCTCAGTACATAACTTACTTTGTTGTACCCTTCCATAGGTGGACCACTTGTAGCTTCATATTTCAAATCTGTTTCAAAACATCTTTTTGTAGGAAATTCTGGATGATTTAACATTGGTTCTGCTAAAAATTCATCATCCTGGGTGAAGTGAAACAAAAGAAACAGATTAAGCCAAACGATTATGCTCATGATTTCTTAATACTATTTAAGTTGAAGATGTTTTAAATGTTTAACTCTAGGCTCTCCGATTCTCAAGTAATGGTTTGTAAGTTTCTTTTTTGTTTGATTGGTTGGATTATTTCATCATGAGCTGACATCTTTGAGTGAGCCACTGGAAAATTTAATAGTACTGGACAGCTGTTTCATCATTTCAATTTGGGACTCTTCAGAAGGGCATACACTCCGGGGTTCGAACACAAGACCTTCTGGTTACAAGGCGAGCTCGTGACCGTTAAGTTCCTGGGACCCTACCCAGTGGTCAGCTAATGATATCCAACTTCTGCCATTTAACGATATACGGCGACCACTAGACAGTGTGTTCGAACCCCGATGACTGGGTGGCGTCAAAAGCTCCAAACCATGACAAAACAAATATTCAGCACTTCAAGCTTTTGATTCCTGAAGACTGAAAATTTACCTATGTGCTTGATACAGCATTGATTTAAATGTCTATCAAATGGCCAGCTGCTGTATTCTACTAAAATATTCATCACATGTAGTAATACACAAATTAATCGACCTTGGTGTTTCTGAATGTGAAGGGAATTTAAAATGAAAGTATGAAAACATTTATTTATTGACATAGCGATGGGTATTTATGCTTCATTTATTGCAAACGGGTAGGTTTATTTCAAAGTCAGTTTAACATCTAACTTTCCTCATCAGTTTTGTAAGTATACGCTTTAACTTCGATAATATAATTCGACATATAATTCTTCGATAAGAATTCTTCGATTTTATGAAACGGCGAATTTACCACAATGTCATCAAAAATACTACCCCAGAGAGAAAATTTCAACATATCTTCTTTCCATTATATACACCGAATTGATTGATTTCAAACTTTGCTTTGAGAACAGTGGTTAAGAACACACAGTTTCCAGCTGGTTAATCCTAGGCGTTTAACATCAGTTGAAAGAGAACTATGATCATGAGTTACCTCTTTCTGTGATCACATAACGAAACTAACTGATAGGGTATCGTCAAAAATAAAGGCGAAGTGCATATCACCAAATTCTTACTACATTAATCGAGGAATCTATTATAGCTCCACAGGAGGTTATTCGCAGTTCACTTGGCTTAGTGATAATATCTCCAAATGCAGTTCCAGTTGACACGTAGGTAGTCAGTTTTAATAAGTGCTTCATATATGCCTTGCTGATGTATCGAGTTCATGGCTTATTGCCGACCCTTGTAACTTAGCTAATGCCACACAGAAAAAGTGACCAACTAATTTCATGCAAAACCTCAGAGAAACGCTTCATACAATCTACAACCAATTCTACCCTTGTAAATCGACTGTACTTATTTTATTTTCTCGATATACGCCTCCACCTGTTTCATTTAACATATTCGTTATTTCATTATGAACCTCTCATTGCAGTCTTACTATCTCCTGTTTAACACAGACCACTTTGCACTAGCCACTCACCTGACACCTTTTATAACCTTGAACTGATTTGTCAGTTTTCCTACCCCACACTCTACAATTCTATTATGATTAATCACCACCATTGTCTCCCGTTTTACAATGTTTTCTAATCGATTTCGGCCTAGCACAACGTTTGACACACAAATACGACTATTTATTTTGACACCCCATAACTAATCTGTTATTCTAAGTTAAAAATGTATCCGCCGCATAACTGGCTCTCATTATTGTAACGACCATAAATATTATAATTTATAATTGTAAGAACCTGAAGAGAAATTATTGAAGAGAATATTCTTCGTTCAGATTTACTTTTAATTCATAATATGGGAATATTTTACACTATCAAATCATATATCACTTCACTTAATGTATAAATGATCTTATGAGATTACATTCGATTTTGGAGTCTAAATTTAATTTTATTCCGTAACTGAACAGATTTAACATCATGGAAGTGATAAAGATAAATGGAAAATTATACATAAAAATTGGCTACAAAACGGGAGAATGAATGGCTATCGAAAACAATGGGAATTCTAAGAAACTATACGCTATTATCCCTGTGTGGTAGAAATGTTAAAACTCACAGTCTCCTTGAATGAAATAGACACCATACTCTAAGTATCGATATAAATATCACTTTTCAGTATCATTAAACATATCCAAAACTTATTGCGTAGTTGCAGGAGATCGGCAGGAGCCCTGAACTTAAAGTTCATGTGTCTTAACAGTCTTCAGCAAAGCGAATCTTGAAGGAACTCATTTCTTTTCTGAGATTAGAACTAATGTCACACAGTGTCCAAACAGTGACTTTACCACCAAGCTAATTGGGATTAGTGACTGACGTCTTGTCGGATCATATTTGATACTAAGCAGTAACCAGTGTGATAGGTTTAGTTAGTTAACACATATATCAATCAATTTCAAAACTTACTTCCGTAGGATCTTTTCTTGTGGCTGCCTCCCACATAATTGTACCAAAACTGTATATATCCACGGCGGTAACAAGTTCACATTTTTGATATTCTGGAAAGAAGGGACGATAATATTAATTTAAGCCGGATACTTTGAATCAAACTAGAGTGTTTTATCCACATTAGTTTGGTTATCAGATATATCACACACAGTGTGAAGTAGTATTATTTACTGGATGACGAGGTTTCGAACACAATCTATTATTGTTCATAATCATATCAATTGTAATCACACGACTTCGAAACTTGAGTTTTATAGTTTTCTTTGTTTTCTCCTATTTGTCGTCATTGGGGTAGTGGAATTTTCCAGATATCTGGATGGACAGGTGATGCATTATTCCTATTACACGTATTTGCAGTGGATTCGATTAACAAAGCTTCGGTTATCAATCTATCCTTCCATTCTGCTGTTAAATTAGATTTCAAAACTGTCAGTTTATCCAATTCGTCCTATTGTATGGTTGTCTGCAATTGAATGTAGTGCTATAGCTGAACTATTCTCTAGATTTCTTATCTTCTTTGGTCAACCAATCTAGATAATGCTAAGTTTTTATGTTCAGCTAGTGTGACTGCCCCTGTTCTACTAATTTGACCTATGTATTTGACCAAATACAAATAATGTCACAGGGTGGAGGGAGAGATTGATAACCGAAGCTTTGTTTATTGAATCAACTGCAAATACGTGTAATCGGAATGATTCAACACGTGTTCAGCCAGATATCTGGAAAATTCTACTACCCCAATGACGACAAATAGGAGTAAACAAAGAAAACTATAAAACTCAAGATTCGAAGTCGTGTGATTACAATTGATATGATTATGAACAATAATAGATTGTGTTCGAAACCTCATCATCCAGTAAATATACTCTTTCACACTGTGTGTGAATATCTAGTAAACAAGCTAATATGGAATTACTTACTACCACAGTGCCTAAGTTTCACACATATATTAATGGTGCTTTTTTAAGTTATCACTAAATTTATGTATTCCAAAGCATTCAATAGGGATTTGTAGACTATGTATGATAACACCACACTATACGTGAATTACCTAGGTATTGAAAACAGTTATTTCCTTTAATAAATTCAATTAGTATTATTGAAAGACAGGGTTTATCAGAATAATTAACACTGCCCTTGGTTATAAAAACCAAACAAACTTGAATAAGCTATAATAATGTATGTGAAATACATATAAATACGTGTTGATTTCCGTAGTAAAACGATCTGTTGCCTGGCCCTTGTCTTCTGTTGTTACAGAATTATAGAGGTGGCTTAATTGAAGAGGGCTTAATTTTGTCTGTAGCTATCGTCCCATCGTATTTCAGAATTTAATCCTGATGGCTTTAATAAGTAATTTTGAAAGCTGTTTTGACATCATTCCAATGATTCATAACATTTGAACCTTTTACTATGGACGATAATAAAATAAGAGTGATCAGTGATGAAGTGTTGATATCTTAGAAGACACTTGAGCTATTTAGCATACTTGAAAATCATGTATTTGTAAAACGAAGATTGTTTCGTTCATTAGCAAAGAATCTGGGAGAAAATATTTAGCTTACACAACATTTTCTTGTCCTAGTTTGCAAATAAAAGACACTGACTGAGTCAAATAACCTGGAACAGTATTGATTTATCTGCATAATGTGCTCTAACTAATCACTTAACCATGAATTTATTTCCATTTCAATGAACAAATATACAAGTCAAAGGCAGGTCACTTTTATGTTCTATCTGAAGTCCAGTAATCAAAGCACCAAATCGAGAACTGGATCTTGTCACGAACACTGATTTGTATTGTACTGGTAATCATTAAAGCGAATGGAATAGAAAACTCCACAAATTGAATAACAAATTATTCCGTCATTGAAGTTCACTGATAAGAAGAAGAATTGTATTATCATATTATTCCATTGGGTTCTGAGTGTAAACATGGTGCTTCAACAGAATATCCCCACCATGTTCTGTTCTCTGTGATACTCTTAAGCTTGTCACACACATTGTCCCTTATTTTGTTTGTAAGATATCCTGCATGTCAACATCGGACGTCTTAACCGGGTTTCACTCGATGGCATGAAGCGTAATTTCATTCAGCAGTCACTCAGCATGTGTGTGAACCATTTCCTTTGGAATATTTGTTGAACGATAAGTTTTAGATTGGTTTGTTCACAGCGTCTATTGTTGCTAACTCTTTGTGACCATCTGATGTTGGGTGCTGCGTGGAGGCAGCTGTTGACAGAAGTCTGAAGTAGCCTGTTAGAAATGCTTCTCATGACTTGCAAAGACTCTAACCCATACAGATACAGTGATTGCCTTAACAATGGTGGTTAAAATTCGAATTTTGCTTTTTATACTGAGTGCAGGAGAATTTCACATTGATTTCAGAGTGATGAAGGTGTACCTTGCCTTTCCATTTCTGGTTTTGACATTCTCATCGGTGCTTTCGCCTGCTGTTTAAACAATGCTTCCTAGATAAGTGAAGGAGGTGACTTTTTGAAATAAGAAGAATGAAGTGTTGATATTAGATGGTTGGAGGCAATCGGAAGGAAGCCCAGCCTGACATAGGTTTCTTGACAGTTGACACTCGTGGGCAAGGCATATCTGCAACCCTAAAGGAATTCAAGTCCCTCCTGAGATTCAAACCCCGTCACCCAGTGCTGCAGTCACATTGCCAACATGACTGATAGAATTCAGTCTGTACGAAACAAAGGACTAGACAAATTGCAACACTTACTAACTACCATCCAATCAAAAGAATGGACTGTTTTAAACGAACTGTTTTAACAGCCTTCTCTGTCTTTAGCCCGTTGTTACTGCATTCGTTAGTTCACCATTTATTAAGTATAGATGTATTGAAAAGAATATTTTTATGCCTCATATCACTGTCAGTCGTTCATCATTTAAAATCTTGATATTCGCCATCAAAAGTAGAAAAAGTTAAACATTCAATAACTGAATAAATAACCTACCTCTATACTCAGGTGCAATATATGCTAAATTTTCTGGTTTCTCTAAAAACGTTCTATATTTTTCATCATCATTTGGCCAAAATAAACTATCCAACCCATAATCAGTTATTTTACACGTCCATTTTTCACTGATAACACAATTTGTTGAACACAATCTACCGTGTACTAGTGGATAATTGTGTAGAAAGGCTAGTCCATTGGCAAGATCTGTCAAAAAGCCTACTCTGTAAAATTAATAGAAACCATAAATGCGTAAATCAGCTAACGATAAGATACCAGATAAATAAATAAATGAATTCTTAACAATAATCCTGGGCCTCATTTAGTCAATGAGGTTAGCAGTAGAAGCCAAACTCTGCATTTTTTTATATATGGTACTCGTCAGCTGAATGTAACTGTATTCTTAGTGAATGATGCTGACCTCACTGAGACTTGGATCCATTATCCACTGTTGCAGTTGTCAAAACGTTATCTACTAGGTCAACTGGCTACCAATCCCTTTTCTAGTACGACGGTCTATCAGTTGTCATTTATCCAAGTAGCCGTTAAGCATGCGGGTACATCTATTTCACGAATTTGAAATAGGATAAAATGTAGGTCCTAGATGCAATTTCTGGATGTCGTTTTCACAATCAGAAATCGTCCAAGCGTCCATCTCCCAGTGGAGACCCAACAATTCGTTTCACTGCAATTAATCGCCAGAAAATTCACGGCAACTAAATCAAGTTTAAACTGCGATTCGTAGATGACATTTGCCGTAAGATAAACAAAATAAATTGTCTATCTCTCTGTCTGTTTTCGACATAGAACTTTGCACAAATGTGTGGAAGTTCAAGTCGCCACACTCCGCCCTTGTAGCACACAAAGGAAGAGAAGAAAGTACAAGAAAAGCATAATAGAGACAGTAAGCAGAGGTGTGAGACAAAGGAGGAGTAATAACGAAGAACAAAACAGTTTCATTGGAGATCATAAGTCACAAGGAGTGGATGCATCTGCGCCACTGAGAACGATTTTGAGCCATGTCACCAATTGTTTCCAACCATTGATTTTTACCGTCCCGAGGACCCCAGCCTGGAAGTCTACACCTTCCTACGTGGCCTAGACTAACTGTTGTAGATTTCATTGACTGATGAGGCCATCTTTTGGTTTGACCGCCGCTAGCGTTTTTCCAGTCTGACCCTATATCCGCTAACATTGCTCGTCGAGGGAGGCGATAACTTGGCATACGTAACACATGTCCTAACCATGTCAGTCTTTGTAACTTCACGACTTCGTCGACTGATTTCCCCTGTTTACCTAGAACTCGACGCCTAATCTCAATATTGCTCACCTTATTATGCCACTTCACACGGGAGATAGAACGCAGGCACCTATGATCAAAGACAGCTAGCCAGGCGTTTCATGTCTTCCACTCTCAGTGGCCAGGTCTCACAGCCATAAAGGTGGACGGAACGGACTGATGAGCAGTACACCCGCCCTAACAACATAAATTAACTACTGATAATACAAGTGTTTGGATAAATGAGTATATATATTTACAGATATGTAGAAACTTTATAACAAAATTCCAAGCTACATGCTTTGAGGAGAAAGTCTGAACGGCAGTGCTCTTTTACACTACACTTGGTATGGATTTTAATTTCAATAATTTATCTATCCTTTTATTCTTCTATGCTTTCTGATCATATTCAGCAAGCAATACTTTCACTTGCATACTGTTTTTTAAAAGTATAAGCTAGGGCTGATATTTTCGCCATCATCGATGAAACTATGTGGTCTATAAAAAAATCGTGACAATCTTGAACAATCGTCATCCATCAGCTGAATCAAAAATTGAAGCGGAATCAGAAGTTAAGGTATCTCTGCTAGATGTATAGTTTAAAAGATGATCAGATGGAAGCCTACAAAGATCAGTCTACTGAAACGCCAAATGGAATGGACAGGTGACAGACTTTCCCAGCTTCATCCTAGTAAGCAGAAAAAGAAATCTCACCGCCCTCTTCTTACAAGAATCTACTGTATGTATAATCAAGGTACATTGAGTAACAAATTGGAATATCTTGAAAACGGTCTAATCAGAAATGGAAATCTAACCGCGTTTATTGACAGCCATCTGCAGAAGATCGATACTCTTCAGAATCTGAATGTACCCAAAAAACGACTAATTCGAAACCTGAAATTCCTAAGAGATACAGTTAATGAGGGGGATTTGAAGAAAATGTTTCGCTGTATTTCTATTCTCCACTTGCTCCACACATGCTTTTGTTCACCAGATATCAAAGGCAAGACTTCACTGTTGGTAACTTCAATTTGCATTTGCTGATTTGCTTGTTCGTAAGCAACCAAGTACATAGGCTTTTGCAGCAAGACATTGTCTAAATGTACCCATGAACACTCAACAGCATGGTTGTTAAGACAGTCAGCAACTCGATTTCGGAGCACATTGTTACTTCTGTACACACAGCCTCAGCATGAACTTCGGTCAGACTCAATTATAACCAAGTTGTTCAAAAGGATTTCACCTACGTCTTTTTGATACAGCCAAGGCTTTAGCAATCTATAAGAAGAAACCTGAACTTTGTATTCAGGGACTATTTATCCAGCCTCTTTTATCACCACTGACTTAGTGCTAATTTTGTTTTTCTCTTTGCTCTTCTGATTAGCTGTATAATAAACTTTATATAGTAATTTGTTATTTTTATGTATTGAGGCTAATTTTCAGTCATTTGCTCTATTGTTCCTCAACAGTTGTTTCCAAATGCTTATTGATCACTGAACAAATCAATTGCCAACCCCTTTCATTATGCATGAATACTCTCAACTTCTCAAAAATTCTTACTACATATACACTTTAATTCATTTGTCACTAATCGATAATAATCTATGGCTTCTGCTATCAGTTAACACTGCAGAATATAGACCCCCTAAATAACTGTAAAGTTTCCTCCATAGTCGCTGATCTTTTCATTAATAGATTCAAAGATGACATCTTTTCAATCATATTCACTCCTAAAATATGATTAAACTATGTGGATGATACTTTTGTAGTGCTAAAAAGAGATCTACACAATTAATTCTTGGAGAAACTGGACAATCTATCTCCCCAGAATCTTCGGAAGCAGAATCAGACGTCGGTGAACTACCATTTTTAGACCGCCCAGTTAAGAGGAAGGGAAACGGACATTTTAGTACATCTATATTCAGGAAGAAAACTAAATCCAATACATATTTAGACTTTGGACCATCATACCCATCAGCATAAAGGTATCAGTTCTTTCAAGTCCTCCTAGACAAGCACACTCTTTGACGAAAACAGATGAGAAGGAAAAAGAAGGGGGAAACAACAAACATTACTGAGACGCTCAAGAAAAATAACTGCCCAAAGAGTTTTATCAACAAAAGCAACACTGAAATTAAATCTGGTCGAAGACGTATTCCAATGACATGGTCCTCAACAGTTGTCATTCCACACAGATCACAAATGTCAGACGTTATCAAAAAGTACTCAGTAAATCCAACATTAGACACTCTACAAAGCAACCTTGTCCATATAAAAGACCAAATCCCTAAGGATTCTCAATCTAATCATTGTCTACAAAACAAAATGCTTGGAATGTGATGCGATATACATCGGACAGACATCTCAAGAAATCAAAATCAAAAGAAATGAACACCGTAGAGCATCCATTCGACCACCCGGAAATCCAGTTGAAATGAAATTGCCTCAAAAATCATTAGCTATTGGTCTACACGCTATAGAATCAGATCAAAATATTGATTCTGTCAATAATGAAATAATCTAGGAAAGTTTCAGAAATCAACAAGAACGTCTCACATCATCAGAAACACTTCATAGCAAACAGAATCCAAATTGTCTGAATAAGAATGATGAACTAAAACAGAATTTGACCTGGTTACAACAGCCCTCTCCTGAATTGAAAAGAACAAATTAAAATGAATGTGATAAGCAATCTCATGATGTATACACATGCTGTTTTTAAAATTTTACACACTTATCAAATCTAAAAATCTTTATCTTTACTAATTGGCCCACTTGAAAAGGAAAAAATGACCTCATTTTGAGGAACGATGATAAAGGTGTTATATATAAGCTGAGATTTTGTAAATTCTGGTTAAACAGCAATACTTTGATAAAGTTATTAGCAGCAGCATTAAATAGCGAAACATCGGTAAAAACATTAGTGTTTTGTTTTTCACTCATTGAGAAATACAAAGACTATAATAATAATGAATATCATGTATTTACAAACTGTCAAAAGTGAACTTGGCTTGGACACATATATCTTTGAAGTGAAGTTACGAGAAATGATCTTTTGCTGACATCATTGTTTTTAATTTCATAACTCACTATGATTTTTAAGTCTATGGAATTCTATGGTATTTATGTTTTTGGTGTAATCGGTGGAAGTAGAAACTTTGTGAACATAACAAACAACTATAATAAGGCTTCTTCAAAAACTGAAAACATTTGTAGCTCGTAATATGTTTAAAGAAAGCAGCAATATTTCATAAAGGAAGATTTATTGTTAATAAATCTTAGTTATAAATTATACAGTATTCTAAATGATTTTTCATTCACAAACTGTACAATATGTGTTAGTTTTAATATTGAACGGTATTTTTCTATATCAAAGGGTATACTCACCTTAAACTCCAATTTAACGGGATCGAATCACGTCGGAGTACATAGCACAAACTTCCTCTATCACAAAACTCCGTGTACAATGATAGCACAGGTGGTATTAATGTAATTCCAATAAGTTTCACCAAGTTTTCATGTTTCATTTTTCTATTGTGATTTGTCAGGGAAAATAGTAGATAGAGGAGGTTTAGGCAACGACAAAATCAATAAAGAAGGTAACTATGACAATAAAGATCATGGAATAAAAACCTGCCAACGAATTCACAAGAACAACAACTTTGACAACATCAAATTTACAAGAAAAGAGGGATTCAAGATCAAAGTTCCACTTAGCTAAACGAAAATGCACCGATTAGTTACGGACTCAATTCATACCGACAAAATATTGATTTACATCAATCCTTGGTACTAGTGTAACAACAGAAGGCAAGCCACGGAAGCCTAGGTATGTTTTATCGATCAAACCTCTGCTTATATATCTACAGTTCATATTCATTAACCGATCACTGAGCGTGTGATTTCGGTTTACATGAAATGACTTGAAATACAATGTTCAAATATACATAGTATTCCGTTAATAATGAAATATATAATCGTCGGAAAGTATTCTATCTCTAAAATCAAATAGATGTATTGTATTCTGTTGCTGATGCCGAAATGGACTGTGGGAGTGTGTGAGAATGATACTCCAATGAAGCACATTGTCTGTATCACACTACCACACTAGAACACACCACAGCATTTTTGAATTCAGCAAAATAGAGCAAAATATCTAGTGTCCATCACCCTTAAATATGTTTATCCATGAAACTTCCAAAGATGTCTCCGGTTCACTCAGTTGACCAACTCAAAAGTATCCATTGAAACTACAAATAAAATAGTTTTAGCACTTATCAGGAAATCACTGAAAGGAATGGAATACTTCAATTGCAGCCTGAGGTGTAGTTTCTATCTATAAAGACAATGGAAGATTTGAAACGAAACCATTCAGCTGTTATAACACAACTACATCACTTTGAGTTAATATATGTGTAAAAATTGGGTACTGTGGTAGCCGAGCATAAAAACCTAGTTAAGTTGACCTGAATAAGATAAAAAATCTAGAGAAAAGTTCATCTATTGCGAGTACTACATGCAATTACATAAATCACACAATAGGATGGGATAAGATGACAGTTTTAAAATATAATGTCACAGGATGGAAAGACAGAAGGATAACAGAAGCTCTGTTTATCGAGTCAGCTGCAGACACGTGTAAAAGGAATGATTTGACACCTATCCAGCCGGATATCTGGAAAATTCTACTACCACCCCTATATATATATATTTATATATATAGTAGAGACAAAAGTTACAATCATTATGCAGTTTACTTAACCAACATGAATTATAACACTATGTAGGTCATTATATGATTCTGGTTCCCATTATTTGACATTTTGTTCATCCATCGAACTGTATAATGTTAATATTTTATTAAAACTACCAAGGGAATTGGTCCCTAGGCTAAAAAACACTACTGCCTTATCTAGACAAAATAATTTAATTTACAAAATACACTACAGTGACTCTGAGGAAACTACATAAGACAGACTTGTCGATCTGGGGTAATCTTACTGTCAGAGCTTCATATTGGATAAGCTAATTCTATATAACACACAGTGATATAGTATTAAACTCTTGATGACATTTCGAGAACAGTTAATCATATCAGTGTATTTCACATGGCTTCAAAAGTTGCTCTATATGTGTATACTCTCCCACTATTTTGATAACATTAAAATTTGACAGTCTAAGGTGGTCATACCACTGTGTTCATTTTCTAACTCTAAAGTGAATTGGATTCCGTCTATGAGTGAGCTTATTTATATGAATAACTTGAGGATATGTTCAGATTTTAACACATAGAATGTGTCATCCACATATCTACACAATAACTCAGTTGAAAATAAGATGGTGGGTTAGATACAAATTTTTATGAGACACTGAACTGAGATACTCTAACAAATGCTTAGACTTTAATCCATCCCATCCAGAATCGGTAAAGATAGGCTTACTTAAATGTCGATATAATCGTTCCAGCAGTCTAACTAGTAATCCAGAAGGCTAAAATAATGAAGTCAAACAAATAAAGGAAGTAATACTAGTGAATAACTAACTACTCACCACAATTTATTCAGAAATGTATGAAGACCCTCAGCAAAAAAAATAAGATTAGTAATGAAATTGATGAAAAAAAAAGTGAAAAAAAGGAATATAAAGCCTCAATAGTACCTCCATACAATAGAGGCCTTACGTGAACTTCCTAATAAGTCTGCAATTAGGGTGGCATTTCAACCAGTTAACCAGTTCAGCGACAAAATTTGTCAGATTCAGGACGCGACATTCCCAGCCAAGGAAAAGTAATATATTTTATCAAATACCATTTAGTGAGTGTGAGGTCAGTTGTACAGTTGATGCGAGCAAGCCGGAGTTTTTCAGGTCATAGAGAAATAGGAATTTGGTTAGATTTAACATGATTTATTCTGTTAAGTTAAATAATGTAGAGAAAAACTCGACCAATGGAATGTGTCCACCTGCACGTAATTACACAGTAGAGTAGAATTAGGTAAAATCACTGAAAAGTAGTATAGTTAAGTGGGGTAAGAGAGAGAGAGAGAGAGTCACCACCAATCTTTGTCCACCTAATCAACATCAGATATGGGTCATCGAAATGACACAATGCTTATCTAGGATATGTGGAAAAATAAAATGAATAGCAAGGGGGAGAGAAAATAAACAAAAAAATTTAAGTCATGAAGCCATGTTACAACATTAATATGATTTTGATTGGACACTAGTAACTAGTGTGATGTGTCTAGTCCTTTGTTTGGCGCAAATTGAATTTTATCAGTCAGGTTTTTAATGTGGCCAGCATTCTGCACCATAAAAAGGACTAGACACATCACACTAGTTGCTAATGTCCAATCAATGTTTATTGATGACAAATTGTTCTGGAGACGTCATCTAGTTATCAATACTATATCACTATGTATTATATCAAATAAACTTATCTAATATGGAACTAATTAATAAAAATTAAAATTGGGAATTGGAATGCCATAATAAACAGGGGGATGGATAAAACAAACAAAGTAGCATTATAATAACTAAGAAGACTGACATTGTGCAATTAGGGGTTAGAAATGTAGAAACAACAAAATAGACAGGATGTTTGGATAAAAAGGACTTCGTCGAAAAGAAAATTTTCTTCGCTGCAACTGTCTTCTTATTTACTCCTATGACCCAATGTGTATATTCCGTGATTTGAAGAGGAGCAAGGACCGTTCGACGATAAGGGAACTGAACAAGTTTCTACGTTTGTCCGTCAAGCTTGCTGAGGCGAACGCAAAGATTTTCTTCTTCAAGAATTGTCTCGAGAAACATGAATATCCCAAAGTATTTTGGAAGCATCTCAGACGAAATCACATATCCCCTAACTCACGTACGCTGAAACGACACACTCTGAATCACATCGATGCAGTGCGATCAAGAATACCTGAGCTAGAGAAAAAAAAAAAAAAAAAAAAAAAAAAAAAAAAAAAATTATCTGAAGACGAGAGAACAGCATTCGAAAACTACTCCAATACGGTTACAAAGAAAAGAACAGATGATGTTATAATGAAACTAAACCAAAGCCTAAAGTCCGTTACAAAAGAAACCGTCTTTCCTACTTGTCCAGAAAAATACGTGTACAATTATTCTGATGTTCAACTATCTCCAATTCAAATGCAAATCTTAGCACTTGGGCCTAAGTTTTGTGATGCAACGTCAAAAGTGAATGAACTCAACACGAAAGTGCAATTTGAGAATTTAATCGACCAGACGAAAGATCTCGTCCCAATCTCATATGAGAATGCAGAACTTTTCAAATCAACCGTTTTAAATTGCTGTCTCGATTATATCAACAAAAAACCCAGCCTCCGTAACGTCCTTTCCAAAGAACATCGAAAGGAGCTGAAAGAACTGAAAGATAATGAAAACTTGATCATCACGCGACCAGATAAAGGCTCCGGAATCGTCCTGATGAACAAATCAGACTACCTAAGCAAACTCTCGATGATACTATCCGATGATAAAAAGTTTCAGAAACAGTCTCCACAGAAAGATCCCACTGAACAGACGGAGCTCCAGCTAACAAAGATATTGAAGAAAATGAAGGACGAATCCATTATCAGTTCAAAGCTATACGAACAACTGCGCCCATCTGGTTCTACAACGCCACGTATGTACGGCTTACCCAAGGTACACAAACAAGACGTCCCACTCCGCCCAATACTAGATATGATAGATTCCCCATATCATACAATCGCGAAATGGCTGGTGGAGATTCTCGGGCCGGTGAAAGAGAAGCTGTCAAGACATAACCTCTGCGACACATTCGACTTTGTTGATTCAATTAAGAATGTCAATGTGGCAGAAAAGAAAATGGTCTCCCTGGATGTCGTGTCTCTCTTCACCAACGTTCCACTGACAGAAACCGTATGTTTCCTTTGTGACTACATTGAATCCAATAACATCAATGTCGATATACCAATTCATTACCTGAAAGAACTGTTACTTCGATGCACCTTCAACGTATACTTTAGTTTCAACAAAGAAATATACAGGCAAGTAGATGGAGTAGCAATGGGTTCTCCCTTAGGACCCCTTCTAGCCGACTGCTTTATGGCTAGCTTAGAGAACAACGCCTTATCAACAACTATCAACGACCTCCATCTCTACAAGAGATACATCGATGATACTTTCATTATTTGTGATGAGAACTGTGATTTAAAAAACCTACTTCAAATTTTCAATAATGCCCACCCAAACATCGACTTCACACTTGAGACTGAATCCGACGGAATGTTCCACTTCCTCGACGTCCATCTGACAAGAAACGCCGACAACTCCCTGAAAAGGTCCATATACAAAAAGCCTACATGGAATGGACAATTCATCAACTTTCAAAGCTTCGTGCCCCTGAGCAGAAAGAGGAACCTGATATACGCTCTTTCCTCGAGGATTCGGAAGATATGCAGCGAGGAAGTGGTTGAAGAAGAACTGCGTAATCTTCGAAAAACCCTGATGGAAAACGGTTTCCCGCCCAGGTTCATAGAAAAGAATCTCAAACCTAAGAAGACTTCTGAACAAGTCCAATCCGTCCCAAAGAAAATGCTTCTGCTTAATCTAGAATTCAAAGGTGATATTGAAGCAGAAATCCTTCGCAGACGCCTCTCAAAATCGCTGAGGAAAACATACTTCGCCGCTAGCCTACGACTGACGTTTTCCTGCAAGAAACTGTTCAGCCAGAACGCGAAAGACAAGCTGTCGCATTGGGCCACCTCAACGTGCATATACCAGTTTACTTGCTCTTGTGGAGCTGAGTACGTTGGCCGTACCATGCGCCGACTTGAAAAACGCGCTCGTGAACACTATCCAGCCTGGCTAGTAAAAGGAGAACGAAAACGGGTAAATAGTTCGGTGACAGAACACCTGGTGAATTCAGGACATTCAGCGCCACTCGAAAAATCCTTCAAAATCATTTACAAGATTCGATCAAACCCATCAAAGGGAGTAAAATCAAGACATCTGGGCATAGCCGAGGCGCTAGCTATACAAAAGCTCAAACCCACGCTTTGTATACAAAAGAAATACGTCCAACCCCTGTCCTTGCCATGGCCATCATAAACAGGTAATTTTTAGTAATCACCATCCCATCGCCTTTCTTATCTAAACTTCCTGTTTATTCATGTTATTTCAAGTTTTTCTTAATCCCTGTTTACACTACCATATTTTCATACCCGAACTTAGTGTTTATTTTGTCATTTTACTATTTCTACATATTTAATCCCTGATTGCATAAACAATTATTCATCACATTAGTTTTTATCCAAACATCCTGTCTATTTTGTTATTTCTACATTTCTAACCCCTAATTGCACAATGTCAGTCTTCTTAGTTATTTTAATGCTACTTTGTTTGTTTTATCCATCCCCCTGTTTATTATGGCATTCTAATTCCCAATTTTAATTTTTATTAATTTGACCCTTGACCGGATATTATTCTGGAACTTTCCCATCCATTTGATATAAATACACGAATGTACAGCCTAGATGATGACTTCGTCGAAAAGAAAATTTTCTTCGCTGCAACTGTCTTCTTATTTACTCCTATGACCCAATGTGTATATTCCGTAATATGGAACTATATTCTACCGTAGTGTCCAAGTTCTTCATTCTCATATTAACACACCTTAGACATTTACCCAAGTGCTGAATGATTGGTCCCACAAAGACGAACAATTTAGAGAAAACCTCAGCAGTCCTTGCGCATGTATAAGTACAAATTAACACACTGGGCTGAGGGAAAGCTGCGGTTCTAGAATTTAATATTTGCAATCTAAATGATGCAAATCCAGTACCGGAGATTTAATTGAATTTTAGATTTTCCCGTCGTTTGATTGGACCGAAGTGCTTGGTGTCAGGTTGACATGTTGGCTTCTTGTGCAGATGCTTCGACGATATCTGGGCATTTGATCAGAATTTAGTTTGTTGATGTTGACTAGCAGTGGAATCCAGGATGCGCATTTCGTCCTTTTTGAGACTCGTCAGTTGAATGTACCTGCATTTCCCAGTGAGTGATGATGTTTCCACCGAGGCTCGAACCCAGTGCCCATAGTTTCAAATGTCAAAGCGTTATCCACTAAAGTCACTGGGAAATGCAGGTACATACAGATGATGAATCTCAAGAAGGGACGAAATGCGCATCCTGGATTCCACTGCTAGTCACCATCCACCAATTATTATAAACAGAGTTTTCAAATTATTTCTAATTGTGAAAGGAAATTTTGGTTCAGGAAAAGTCATAATACTAAGCAAGTGTAGTATGACAAAAGTTATAATTACTTCGGGGGTAAAACAGCGTCAGCTTTGTCCAGCCTACGTTACACACATATGTACCTTGGTATTTATTTAACTCTGGTGGAGTAGCATATACCGGAGCATTCGTTTACTTAATAGCTCAAAGGAATCACTTACAGTTTTTACGGTGAACCAGAAAAGATTCTGAGTTCAATACTCATTAATGCATATTGTAACCGCTCTAATTTTCTGAAGCTATGCTTGTTTAATGTATGTCCAGCCATTTACATAGACCATTTCGATGCATCGTACTTAGCAAATATAAATAATTCCAGAAAGTCATAGATCTCTATTAAGGGCGAGTTTCAGTAGTTAATCAGCCGGGGAATATTTCGCTAGTTCTGTTCCTCTTGCTATTCGATCCTCAAAACAATGTCTCAAAATTACTGAATTGCTGAAGTCTCCAAACTAAATGTAGTGGCGTATCGGTGGTTGAATGGTAAAATGCTCGCCAACTGCACAAGGAGTCTGGGGTTGGATTCTCGACCGACAAACTCCTGAGTCTTGTATAACTGATACTAAGGGCAGAAAGTAAAGAAGGCTGAGTGTGTGGTCATCAAACCCAACCCATAAAAAACACTGCTACTGAAACTTTAAAGCTCAAAACTGGAATTCCAATGTTCGACATACAACGAGAAGAAATGGAAAGAGGAAACAGCAGACCAGGCTTCACCAAAACCTATATCGAAATGTTATTTACACACTTTTAATTGTAATACTTTCTTTTATTTTTAGGTAAAAATCAGAACTATACCAATAGGCTAACAAGGTAACCCAACAGTTACTTTCATTAGTGTAAATATCATTTCTAAAATTCAGAGACACAAAAGGCAATTAAACATTCTCATCGACAGTATGATTTTAAAAACCTACTTAACTTGCCAAAGTTGTTTTTCCATTTCTTTAGTTAACGAAGTATATTTCACATCGACTTTCTTCATTGCTACAGGAGTATTTCCACTAAAAGAAAAGAAATTCAAAAAAGGTCTTGATCTAAGTTATTTTACTTCACAAGTAAATCGTGGTATTTTCGTAAAAAGCAGGGCATTTACTAAGTAGAGTTATTGGATTTACTACTGAGAACCTTGTAAACGTGGAAGATCGAAAAAGGTTTCCGTAATAATTGTTTTATCTTGCTGGTCGACAAGTTGGCCTTGCAAACGGAAGTACTTGGATTCTAAACCTGGCGGTGTTGTGCGCACTGCTAAAGATGATCGAACTAGAACGAGGTAGCTGTACAAATCAAACCTCTGCAAACTAACTCTTGAAGATTAATCTAACGCTAGCTAACCACTAGCTATAGGACCTATTTGCCTGGAATTCTGGTGAGAAGTCATCCCAATGGGGTCCATCTGTTCGTGATTGAGGACAAATACTTGCCAATACTTGACATTGGCTGCTGGTTGTGATAAATTCACGAATTGGTAGAAGTTAGAACTCGTAGGCCACTGAGTTGGGTCCCAGTGGCTGTATGGTCTCCGAGATCTCTTTGTACTGGAAGGTTGTGGATTCTAACTCAGGTAGGTGGACAATGCTAAAGAGTGTCAAGTTAGGTCGAAGCAGAGCTGTCCAGTACTTGATGTTAGTTCTCGATGTTTCACTAAATGATATCAATCCGGAATGAAACTTGAAACCCATGAAATCCCTACGAATCAGCTCTTTAAAATCAAAAGTGTCAAATGAATATCAGTTTTTAAAATGGTAATAACACCTACAATGGATGTCAGTATGACAAATATTTCACCGTCCTAACATAACGTCATGAAATATTCAAACAAGCCTGAAATGAGAATGTCTGAAAGATTTCCTTTAGACACTTGCTGTCTAGAATTAAATTACTATTAAATAAAATATATTTCAGAGTGTTTTTTCATACTCAAAGTTCATAAGTGTTTAACCAGACTGTTATAAAGATTCTTAAGCCCCTATCGTGGTTGTGCCTTCTGCTATAATTTTTTCATTAATGAAGGAAGGCAATGGAATTTACAATCTTATTTAAACCTTATTCATCCGTGCTAGATTAATTCGGAGGGGATGTGTGTCTCCAGTGGATTCAGTGCACAGTGAAAAAAACAGAGAAACATTCATACGACAAGTTACAAACAGTTATGTACATTAGCACCGAATATGCAGTCAAGGTTTACTTACTACGAAACACTGAGATATCCTCCAAAAAGGTTTGAATACTACTGGACATTCCGTTTCACAAATCAAAACCTTTACTAACTTATCAGTACTTCATATTGTTATATTTAGCAGTAAATGACAGTATTTGATCGACATTTATATTTCGCAAGAATTAAGTTGTCTGCAAATGCTTATCGTGATTATGTTTTAACCACATATCTTTGTATGTATGCACATACTCTTGTGAATTGACATGCATGGTAAAGTGACACATTCACATATATTGGTTAATTGTTATGGAATTAAGGAGTGAAACTGTCCTTCTCATTATGGTAAACATAAGGTGTAAGTCGGTATACTAACGATTTCCGGAGGTCTTCCCTAAGAATATAAGTCAATTTGGGTTGTGATGGGATACTGACATTATACAGAAAGAGGTGAAGTATTCGCAAACATTAGATACATAGTTTCAGGTATTCCTTTAGTACCCAGGTATCCGTTTTCCGAGCTGTCAGTTTTAAAAGAGCTGTAGAGATGAACATCATTTACACTGGGTTTATACCAGCAGTTAAACAATTTACATCTGGATCAACCGAATTTTGTATTAGAGAATCATAACCTGTCTGATTTCAGAAAAATGAGTAATGTCTTAAGTTGTAATGTGAAGCTGTATTAATATTTCAGAGGTGAACTCCTGATTATTTGGACAATGATCATCATTCTCTTCGATAGGCAAACTGAGTTACATTTGGATACTGGCTATGTCTTTGAGATATCCTGATATAGTATGAATCTGATTTAGTTGAGTTCTCTGAATTGGCTAATTAAATTTCTGAACTTTCGTTGTCCTCCCAGACAAAAACATCATCCCCGGTCTTTCGTATGAAAACTTTCTACATATCACTTCTGTGTGTTTAGTGTCACTTTTTGTGGCAAATCGACAGAAAAAGGAATCTGTTCTTTTGTTATACTGATATGATTGCTTGTGATGCTTTTGTAAAATAGCATCTGTAATCCGAGACACTAAACGAGAGTATCTCTTTCATCCTCATCTTGTGGATCTCGTCTTTCTAACTCATATCATTTATAGGTACAACATTTACTTTCTTTTCCTTTTCTCCTTTTACTGTTATGTGCTGCTTTGTTTCTCTCTTCCTCACAGACTTTATCTTCAAATGACATTAAATTTGTTAAATATGCTGACGACCTGACTGTATCTTTGCCTGTCGAATGTCACAGCGACTGCTGTAAACTAAATGGCTTTTTATCAGAAATCAACCAGTGGTCCAAGCAAAACGTTCTAACCTTAAACTCCTCTAAATGCCAGACAGGTAGTTTTACCTTTAGGCATAAATCTGATGTAAAAAACTGGTTAGCACTCACGAGGAGTGCAATATAGATGGCACTGAAATAGAAACCGAGTCGGAAATTAAATACATAGGCGTCATTCTATATGCTGATCTTTCTTGTTCGTCTCATATCTTGATGATTTCTAAGAAAATATTCTATCTTACCTTCTACATCAGGAACTTAAGACACTATGGAATAACCCAACCCTTACTCCTACGATTCGTTAACTCTTGCATCCTGCCTATTGTTCTCTATTGTTCCCCCTTAGTTTTCCAGGGCTACTGAAGAAAGTCTATATGTTATCACGTAGGCTGTTAAAGGTTGGCAGCAGGGTAAGCAACGTGCCACTTAACAAACTGGTTAGTATTCTAGTTGACAGGCACATGGACTCATGTGAAAAATGGGCTAAATCGATTTTATCTAACTCACACCACCCTCTTCATTCACAACTCTCCCCATATATCTCATCAGGCAGAACCAGGAGCCTATATAGAAAACTATATGCTCTCACTAGCAAGTACAAAAGGTCAACCATACCCTACTTAGCTCGTGTTCTGTGCGTCGGTGGCACAGTGGTTAGGACTCTCGCCGACCATGCACATGGTCCGGGGTTCGAGCCCACGCCGACGCACACCTGATATCTATGGTCGGCCTGCGAAATTTGGGCTACCGATATCCATGCTGAAATTCCATACTTGTACCAAAAATACAGTGTGGAATCAAGCTGTAAATCAAAAAAAAAAAAAAAGAAAGCATTAAGCGTGATACCTATAACTTATTCAATAGTCAGTAGAACAACTGGATCTCGTCTTTCCAACTCATATCTTTTATAGGTACAACGTTTCCTTTCTTTCTTTTCGTTTTCTCTGTTATGTGCTGCTTTGTTTCTCTTTTCATTACAAACTCTACTTGACATATTCTTCTTCGTTCTCTCACACTCTGTATATCTCGAACTTTTGTTGCCGCTTTCGCTAGTAAATATGCTAGCATCTACTTTTCTAACACCTTCAAATACTCTGTTTCAATTTTGTCTTTGCTACCGACATGCCAATATGTTGTTGTCAAAACGAACTGAGATTACGCTTAATCTATGTAGAATTTTATTTATTGTTATTGTACTAACTGGATGCAATACGGTGGTGAAATGCTGAGAATTCCATTCTATATTACAAGTACTGTTTTGGAATAAAGCAAATTATTATTATCAGTTTCCCTTTTTCTTATACATTCCAGCAGGAGATCATTGCTAAGTAGTTCCAAACTAGAGTGAAACAGTTGTCCAATAGTTTTCAAACTGATCTCACCTCGTGATCAAACCTCTAGCCTATGAAACCCTTGCAGACCAGCACTTGCTTGTTCATAGGTCATGGAAGATAAATTTCTACCTTGCCTTTCTTCTCTGCAATGTACCTCCACAATAATGTTTGATTAAACCATTTACCTGGCACCTGACTTGATTTTCTTTCCTGTATTATCGACAGCTCGACTATGCAGAATTGTACCCTTTGTATTGGCAGTCTCTTTAAACTGACTATGTAAACGGGGAATTCAGTGAAATCGCAGGCACTACGTTAAAGTCTTGGTGTGCATGCTGCTAACTAATTCTTGCAGCTAGCAGTAGAATCCAGGGTTTATATTTTAACGTATTATCGGCTCACCATCTGAGTACGTCAGCACCACGGTGAGCAGTAATGAATACTAAGAATTGCTTCATTCTAATGTGCTGTTTGGAATAAATCTACTATTATTCCCTTTATTATTATTATTATTCTACTGATAATCACAAAAATTTGACTCAGGATAAATGAATGTTGTTGTTGTCGTCCTTGAAGACGCTGATGAAGTGTAGAGTCTTCTGAACACTTTAGGCAGAAATCTTAGTTTATTCGGCATGCTATTAGCACCTGTCAAACATAAAGTGATGCTACAAGATTAGACGACATCGACTCCTAGCTTAGTGAAAAGGAATGAAATGATGAGCCATCTTGACTAAATTTTAAAAGTCGTATCAACCTTGATGAAAGGTTTGCTCAAAAAATCTCAGCGCGTGTGTGGTCTTTATGTCATCTCTGGCGTGGCAGTTATATCTGACTAATGACTAAGAGATACGTGCACAACGCAGCATTTCACTCTGTCCTCTTTTATGGATGTGAAACACGGTCAATGAAAGTGGAAGATATGAAAAGTGCAGCTGTCTTTTATCACAAAAGATTTTGGGTTCCACGTCCCATGTTAAGTTGCATAATATGGTAAGCAGCATTGAGTTTTGGCGTAAAGAACTATGTAAGGAAAGGAACTCAACAGATGAGATCTTGAGGCTGCATCTATTGGGATGGCTAGGGCATGTGTTACACATGACGAGGCGTCGTATAGTTAAGTTGGAAAAAAGTAACGGGTGGTAAAACCAAAACGTTGCAATAGTGTATGAAGTTTTTGACGGTTGGTTTCAATCAGCTACTCACAGAGGTGTAGGTTGCCCAGTCAGGGTCCTTGGGATATTAAGATCTAATAGCTTGAAACTATTGGCGATACAGCTGAGAAATATTCTGAATGGTGCATTTGCATTCACTGTTGGAAACTTCAATATATCTAACAAGCTGTCTTGTTTCTACTTCACATTTCTGCTAATTTCAATTTTCTGAATGTCTGTTATTCTGGATTTTGTATGCCTTTCTGTGCTATGCTGAAAATCTATGCAAAGTTCTATATTGAAAGTCGGTCAGTCTGGCAGCCACAGACTAACAAAGTCAAATGTATCATCGATGCCTTTATTCTAGCAGTAGATATAGTAAAGTAAATATGCAAATATATAAAAGTTAAAATTCCAGAGGTGCAATGACTTATCCTAGAAATTTACGTTTTAATTTTCTTATTTAAATTGAAGACAGAAATTAAACGCATGAAATTTTCAGAGGAGAACTTACATCATTACCAGGGAGCAGTTAGTTGAACGGGATAAGAATAATTTAAACCATTTATCTTCGGGGTCAACTAAAACAAATTACAGAAAAAGAAACACTTTCAGTTATGAGCAGAAAGCGAAATACACAATGAAGGTGTCTATTTCAGTCAATAATAGAGGTGAATAGAAAAATGACTCAATATTTTAACGTATTTTCTGAATTGGGCTGTGGATCAGGGCCACATTAAGTACAAAGTCGGTAATTACGTTTAGCGGAATCAAATGCCTAGCGATAATAGCTTTTACAGTGATACTCCAAATTATATTATTAATATTTACATTTTAGAAGAATATTAATAACATAATTAATAAAATATGTTAAAGGGAGTTATGGTTTTGTAATTTCCACGTGTATCTGACTTCCTGTGTCAGTCACATGCAAAGTTTGATTGGTTAAAGGATTTCATAATGAGCTGGCATCAGTTAGAGAATTATTGGAAAACAGGCTGGGAGTACTGGACAGCTGTTTCGTCCTAGTTTGGGACTCTTCACAGTACGCGTCCACGACCAGGGTTCGAACTCACGACCTTATAGTTAGAAGGCTAGCGAGCTCATAGACCATTGAGTCACTTGGACCCGATCCAATGATCAGTCCATGAATTCCAACTTCTGCCCATTGACGATATAGCGTCTTTTGCTCTTTTAGTGTTAAAATTCAAAGCAGGAACAAGTCAACATTCGAAAAAAATATTTTTTTAACTTCTGAACTACTTACTTTCAGAGATTGTGTCTGGTTGAATTACCCAAGTTTCCTCATCTGTTTTCTCTTTCCTCTTCTTTGTTTTAAGCTGAAGAAGTGAATGGAATGAAATGTATTATTTCAGTGATATGCAGACTAGACTGCCTTCTACGTAGACACGTGTTCATCAATTAAAAACGTTAAAACTGATATAAGATGTCAATAGTTGAGCAAAAGTCAGTTGCATTCCTACTCTGTTTGGCAATTCTTATCGAAATTCCCTTTCACATATTGTTATTTGTGAAACAATGGGTCTAGAAACCTAGAGGGTTTTTCAGAGATTTACAATGTTGCCTGATTAGTCCATTCAGGACTGTAGATATTACTGTAACCGCTCGTCTCCTGCATTCTATAAGGGACATGGGCTTTCGGCAGAACACCGCCATTTCATTCTATCTCGATGACTGACCATACGCCTTAATTTCCTCTTCGCACGATCTACTCCACATCACCCTCGGAAGCTCAGCTCGTCTTTTCCGAATAGGTTTCAACTGCAGGGTAGAGTGTGCAACGTCACTCAGCGGTCTCTCCATTTTCTTCTGCATATTGAGTGAATAATAGGCTCCTAGTCGGTTTGTTCAGAGTGCATCCTTGCTTATCTTTTCAGACCAGTGAGTGAAGATGACTGTTGGTGAAAATCTCGAGCAACTTATTGAATAAGCTTTTAGTGATGCCCCAAATCTGTGAACCATACAGGAGACCTGACTTGATACTAGGAAAAATTCGGATCTTCTTCCTAGCGTCAAGTCAGCTTTGTATGACACAAGAAATAAATTAACCATGAGTTCATATCTTCTGGGTAATTCATTATGCGTCGGGTTCCTCGCTCTGCACGATCTAATGAATAAACTATTCTACCGAAATCAAGAGGACTATCGCTGGCAGTTAATATTGATGTCATGGGTAAAGTCAAGCATAACTGAAAGCTCAGCAAGGCGTTTGAAGACAGTAGTCAAATAACGGACACACTAATATATTTTTTATTACTTTGAGTTTATGGTGGAGCATAGGACTTCAGGCTTGGGCTTGAACCTCCAGTAGCAATAATGTAGCTTTTACGGAGTAAGAATGCTAACCTCCCACCCGACCATCCGTCTTTACCAGCTTACTGTCGGCTGTGAGGTTTAGAAGTCCTAAGGGAATCGAAACTGAACTGTGTTCTTGATTGGTAAGCATTTTCCCATTAGACCACAGATGTATACACATTAGTTCACTAATAATAGCACACGGTAGAGAAATGAAATCACTCATTATTAACCCCATTCAACATGGCATATATGTCCAACTGTAGGAAAAGTATGGTGAGTAGTTCCTCTGGCTGCTGAATAAGCGCATTTAACAGTCCTAACTCCTGACCTTCTCATGTGAACATTTCATTTGACCGGTAGAATAACCAAGAGTGTACAATGAATACATATTTTAAGACATAAAAGTTAACAAATACAATAACTTACATAGTATAAAAATCCACTAAGCATAGTTAATATTAGTATACTGGCCAGGACAATGAGTACGATTTCGGCTATTTGCAATGTGTTTGTTAGTTTGTGCGATTCTGTAATTAAAATCATTTGTATAATTTCATATAACGGATACATACATCTAACTGAATCTATGAATCTACCTTTAAAAAGAAGTTGATCATTAATGATCTTAAGATTCAGAGCTGGATCTTTACCATACTATAGTAGAAAAATTCAAGTTTGTTCATTTTTCCACGTAGCCAGATGATAAAGAGTTTTTAGCTGGTATTCAGGTGGAAATGTCCTAGGAAACCTGTTAATTACGCTGTTTGCACAGATTCGAGACCACTGCCAGTTGGCTTTAACTAGCAATAAGACTCAGGATTGTTGTGTGACCATCTATGCTGCTAGACATGAGCTTTAAGGACACTAGCTGCTGATTCGAACCAGACTATTCCTAAAACCACCGCAATTAGCTATGTGTAAAAATAGCTCTCATGGCTGCTAAAAGGTGTATTTATTATTGATGATAGGAACAGTTTGTACAGACGCACATTCCTACGACAATGCAACCTCTGAGCTCTTGTCCCTTAAAAAATTATATTGACCATCATGCGTTTTATTCCGCGCGTATAAGCAAATTGATCGCTGACCTTGAAACGGCTGTGGCTTAATTTACTTGAAGAGCTTCTTTGACTCTTCATCAGCTAATCTCACTAAATAAATCATCTGGTTTTGTTGATGTGGAGGGAGGGATCATAGTAAACTTCATTAGACCCACAATCGCACTATTTTAAAAATAGTCCTATGGGGATGGATGATAAAAAAAAAACTACTCATATCAAATGGTTATTTTTACTGTATAAATTTGAGGCACCGTCATTGTTGACTGATAACCTTTCAAAGGCATTCAAGTATTGGTTTGTAGGGATTTGGTTGATTGGTTACAGGATTTCATCATGAGCTGACATCAGTTAGAGATTCATTGCAAAACCTGGGAGTACTAGACAGCTGGTCACTGGCGACTGGCCCTATTCAGGTAGGTGGTTACTTGGGGTTCCAGTGAGAAGTCATGACCAGTAGGGTGCAGCAGGTCGGGTGTGAGGACAAATACTCGCCGAAGACATTGGCTAGCGTTTGCGCTATATCTTGAATTGGCAGAAGTTAGAATTCATGGACCATTGGAACGGGTCCCAGTGGCTTAATGGTATACGAGCTCGCCTTGTAATCAGAAGGTCGTGCATTCAAATCCCGGTGGGTGCGTATTGCTGAAGAGTCGCAAACTAGGACGAAACAGCTGTGTAGTACTCACACGTGATCTTCCAATGGTTCTCTAACTGATGTCAGCTCATGATGAAATCACGTAACCTTTCAAAGGTATATTTTTATTTAGGGAAGATAAAGGCCAGTACTCATTTATTTAATGGGATGATGTAGAGAAAGATAACCGGAAATAAGTAGTATATACGTTTTTTTGAAAACTGGTTCCTCTTGTCTACTAAATAGTACTTCCTTAATATTTATAAGCATGATAACCTGTTTCTTTCGGCTGACAATAAGTTGTGAATCCGAACCCCAAAACAGTCATTTATGCTAGTAATTATGACGTGTTTAAAATTCATTTGTCTTGGCAAAATCGAATGTTTAATATACTCAGTGTCTTAAAACGTATTGTATTTTCTTTCATTCTGCGTTTGAAGTGTTTTTTCACCCACAAACACTTTCTGGGTAGAATCTGTTCTTTGTAAGTGAATGTCAAAACAATATAATATATATTTATATGTTAAGTGAGGCTTTGAAAAACTTATAAATACATGTGCCATGGAAAATTCCCATTCTGACATACAGAAAATCAAAACAAGTGATTCAGCGAAGTGACTCTTTTCAACGAATTTATTATGAAGTTGTAAAATCGTGTATATACACAGCTTTTAAGAAATAATATCCTATTAGGAAATTGAATCATAGGTGTGAATGCATGAAATAATAATAGTAGTGTGAAATGCAACTAAAATATTTGTGATTATAATCACAGTTAAATGTCAAATGGCAAAACAATTAATGTCATATGTAGAATATTTTCAAGTGTTGGCTTTGTAGGGATTTGGTTTGATTGTATGGAGGATTTAATCACGGGCTGACATCAGTTAGAGAACCGCTGGAAAACATGGGAGTACTGGACAGCTGTTTCGGCGTCCTAGTTTGAGACTCTTCAGCAGTACGCACCCACCGGGGTTCGAACCCAGGACCTTCTGGTTACAAGGCGAGCTCGTAGACCATTAAGCCACTGGGACCCGATCCAATGGCTCTTGAATTCTAACTTCTGCCAATCACGACATAGCGCGACCACTTCGTAATGTCTTCTTCGATGAGTTACTGCCTCATCGTCGAACTGCTGTACCCTTCTGGTCACGGCTTCCCACTAGAACCCCAGGTTAACTGCCTGAATAGGGCCAGTCGCTAGTGAGCATCAGATTAATTTTCAAGTGTTTGTTTTGTAGGGATTTAGTTTGATTGTATGGAGGATTTAATCATGAGCTGACATCTGTTAGAGAACCACTGGAAAACCTGGGAGTACTGGACAGCTGTTTCTGCGTCCTAGTTTGGGACTCCTCAGCAGTATGTCGTGAATTGGCAGAAGTTAGAATTCAAGAACCATTGTATCGGGTCCCAGTGGCTCAATGGTCTACGAGCTCGCCTTGTAACCAGAAGGTCCTGGGTTCGAACCCCGGTGGGTGCGTACTGCTGAGGAGTCCCAAACTAGGACGAAAACAGCTGTCCAGTACTCCCAGGTTTTCCAGTGGTTCTCTAACTGATGTCAGCTCATGATGAAATCCTCCATACAATATATAGAATAGTTCATAGGATGGATAGAACTTGACAGGGTGTGAAATTATAGGAGTAGTAAGCAAATGGAATAAAATAAAAACGTTGCGTAACATTGTGTGAAATTTGATAACATAGAATTTAACGTTGAAAAACTGAATTGATTTAGAATGAAAAGTGGAACGAGTGAAATAATACCGGGGACAGTTCAAAGTGAGAATATTAATACTAACAATTAACGTAATACAGGAAGAGCATAAAAGTTGAATAAACAAAACGAAATATAGGTATAGCCATACTTAAGCATAGAAGGATTAAGATCATGAAAGTTGTAGGGGTTGAATGAACGTTTTGTTTATATAGAGTTCTGGCTTTTCTGTTTCAAAGGCCAAGATGGTTTCGTCAATACAGATGAGTGTGATATGTAGTGATCTGAACGAATTACTTTTCACCTTGTGGATAACTTTAAAGGCTGAGACTGTAGATATAGGGTGATCAGTATCGATCAGATATTCAGTGATCGCGCTTCATATCGCTCCACTTCCACCTCTTCATAATCATGCGAGATGGCTTTCTCGCACCCTCTTGGAGAAAACCAGAGTTGAACGACTGACATACTTAGCTTCACACGAGCAGGTGAATTGATAAACTCACATAGAGTTGATCAACGGTGGGATCTTGTCCTCCAGCTTATTGAACACTAATGGTCGATTGGTCAAGGATATTCTCAAACATGCAGCAGGGAATTTTCTTCTCAGGGACTGTAAGATCCCTCTGTTCATAATATCAGAAGCTAAGTCACCTGTGAATTCCAAGCTCGTGCAGAGTATTTTCTTGGATAATAATGATGAGTCACAAGATTTTATTGTATATTCTTGTGTATAAAACGTAATGGAAATCCATTTTCTATTAGGATTTTCCTCAAAAGTTTAACTCATCTTCCACAGTATCAGGGCTACATATGCACCGAGTACGACTGCCAAGCGACCGGATCAGGTTTCATTTTCGACTAACGGATACCAGCTGTAGAAATTTGTCAGTTGACCATTCCATAACAGCTTTCGACAAATCAATCTCTTTAGAGCTCCATAGGTTCTCCTTGATAAGTTCACATCAAGGAAATGATTACTAGTGTGAATTTAATTGCTGGATGACATTAATCGTTTTGCCATTTTCCATTTAACTATGATTATAATCACAAACAATTTAAATGTATTTCATACTACTATTATAATTTTATGTATTCACACCTATGATTCGATTCCCTCACCGGATATAATTTCTTAAAAACTGTGTATATACACGACTGTACAACTTGATAATAAATTCGTTGAACAGAGTCTCTTCGCTGATACCTTTTTTGGTTTTCTAAATATATAATTATCTATTGTTGGTTTGTGCAGGGATTTGTTTGCTTACAGGTTCAGTCATGAGCCGACATCAGCTAGAGAAATCTGGTATAGTGAAGAGCTGCTTCGGTTTAGTCATAAAGTCTACTTCAACAGTATGCACACATTGGGGCCTGGACTCAGGACCGTACGGTTACAAGACGACCTTGTAGATTATTCGGTGGATGGGATCCGATTCAATGAGCAGTTCATGAATTCCAACTTCTGCCATAGTTGCAATTATTTCACGTGGTCATTTAGTTTTTATTGACCACATTTAAAATAAAAATCTTCGTTTTGGATAAAAACATTGTAAAAATAAAAAAAATCTTTACTAACCTGAAGTTGAAATTGTCACCTTCTTGATAAAAGTCCCTTGAAATCTTCCAATCAGTATACGAATAAATAGTAAGTAGATTCCTGGGAGTGTAACACCTTAAGTAAAGAGAAATAATCAAAATGGACCGTTTTTCATCTCGGAATAAACTATTTTGCATATATTCATAACTTTATCATGTTAATGTATCTTTTGCAGAAGCAGAGAGAAATTTAAAGGTTTGAGAATCTTGCTTTCACTACTTTATATAAATACAAGTAAAAACAGAATTTCATACTTATGCGTTTAAGTCGAATTTACTTTTCCCGCTAATTGACTGGAAACAGAATGTTTGGTTTCCATTGACATATAGGCTAGTAATGCAATCGGTTTGATGATGTATAAAAATTAACATGTTTTTATTCACAGATGAATGCTGGTGCATTTCATCCAGCTGGCAATCCCCAAAAGGACTGAAATTTTTCACTTACATCCACTCCTAGTTACTGTCCACCGAATAACATAGTATCGCTTATATGACCCGGTCGAAATGTCGGTAGTATGAACCCCGACGTGTTAACCGAAGCCATATATTTTCGTTCAATAAATTGTTAAAATTGACTGGAAAAAACAACAACTGATATCTGTTACAAATGAGGTGTTTTTTCATGATTTAAGTGGTGTGGTAGATGACGGTTTAGCGTTTTAAACAATGTGTGTTTGGTTCGAGACTTTCTTGCAATACTATCATTCACTGGGGAATGCTAACGCGTCCAAATGACGAGTCCCAAATAGGACGAAATGAACATCTTGGAATCCATCGCTAGTCATTATTTACAGAGTAAAATTTCATATGTAGTTTCCTGTTTTCTTCATAAATAAGAATCAGTTGACTGTCTCAGAGTATAAAGTATATCAGTAAGGTTAAGACTGTATGCTGACACTATTGTTATCATTATACAGAGACTTTTTCTGTTGAAACGTCTTCCTGCGTGATATGATGACGAATTTTATCAGTCTGTTTTGTTGTAAACGGTTTCTTCATTGCAGAAGAACTATCACTCAACTCAGCATGTGGTACTCGTCTATCAGGTAGGTCAATTATATGCTATCTAACAGGAGTAATAGTGGTCTAACTTTCATAACAGGTTTCATAATAGCTTATTAAGTTATGCTGTCTTTTAGAATTTAAGGACAACCTGTCAGATTCATTAAGTAAATTAACTGTGATTTAGTAAAGTAAACTTATGATAAGCTAGGCGTCTATTGAGTTCTAAAAAAGAAGAGATGATTCATTACAAAAAACCAACTTTGGTACTTCAGGATTTGTATTCTGCAGTGAAGTATATTCTCTTCAGAACAATGTATCTTTTGATGATTGAGATATAACGAGATGTTTGTGAATGGTCTCATCAAGTGCTGGTCCTCCTGTATAAAGCGGCTTCCTCATGGAATGTTATAATTCAATAAGGATTAGTTTCTTGCATTGTGAGGCCGAACACTGAGGTCCAGTCGGTTAACGGGGAAATCCAAGTTGAACTAAATAATGACAGACACCCGTTACATAAGACGTGACCCAAGTCGTCTAGTGGATAGCGTTTTGTTGTTTGAAATGATGGTTACTGGGTTCGAGCTTGAGTGGGAACAAAAGCAGTCACTGGGGAGTTCAGGTACATTCTGCTGACGTGTCCAAAATAGGACGAAACGCGCATTATTTCAGATTCCACTGCTAATCAACGTCCATCAAATTGTTTCAGGTTAAATTCTTCTGAGTTTCTATGCTCATCCCGTCTACACGTGTATTCGTCAAAAACCTATTCTGCATATCACGGAACTATTTTCTAAGCATGTGTTATCTTGCTTCTAAGCCCACTATGATCTAGACTCATACTTTCAAACTTTCATGAAAAGTGTAAAATTATTATTACCCTTAATCTTCTCCTTGGTTATTATGTGAAATTCAATAGTGATTCTATCTTTGTAAACTTGTGTTTATTAAAAACGATTGTAGAGCTTTCGAGAATGAAATAGCTGAAATGATATCTTGGTTGAACTTCTTGTCCTTTTTCTCATTAAGTCTTCAGACATTGTCAAAGGATACACACTTTGAGTCCACGTGTCAACAAATGCCCAATACTTCGGTCCAGATAATCAAAGCGAAAATCCCAGTTAATTTAGATTAGAAACAGAGGTTTGTTGATCAGTTTTGAAAAATGATGGAATAAGATAAGCGATAAGTGTTCTACACAAAACATGCTTGTTCATTTTTTGCTTATACTAACAAATTTAATGAAACATTACTTACTTGGAACCAAAACATTCCATTCTGAATTCAGCGATGAACCAGAGTAAACTGGTATAGTGGCATTGTTAAAATTGTTGAAATCACACACTTTTGAGGTAAATGCTGCTCCATTCGGAGAGGGCACACTTTCCATAAATAGACTGATATGCCATACACAGCATGTATTTTCGACATTAAATATTTTGCAGAGTTCAGCAGAACAATATGAAGATGCATCAATACTTGTACTACATGAATGATAAAGTAAAGGTAACAAAATGCTTAGGATGAATTTTAACTACTAATGAGTAGACAATATAAACACAAAAAAATAAAATTTAGATGACAAGCGATTTTCTGTTGGATTCAATGAAATGTGTTTTAAAAACATTACAGTTTATTGAAGTTAATGTGGCTTTGAGCAGTATCTCACTCTTTTTAGTGGAATACCCTGCTTTATAGCGCAAAATCGAAATATTTGGTCAAAAAGACAGGTTTCGAAAAATGAAAAATAAATATTTCTCAATGGGTGCTTCCATTATAAAATTATTCCAACTATTGCCATTCAACTTGATTTATACCATGCTCTCCGAAGGATAGAAAGGCAAAACTGGAGAAAACCAGAGCCAGAAAAAAACTGTATCAATTATGGTTTATAGTTCTTCTTATTTTTGGATCCAAGTGGATAAACTTTGACTCAGTTAACGTGAATGTCATTCATTCATGCCAGTGCGAGAAATGGCAATCAGAAGACCTGGACCTCACAGACAGTCTGTATCTAATGACACTCAAGCTCAAAAATTCACGGGCAAAGTCCAATAAGTCTGCAAAAGAGGATGGCAGCAAAGGCAGGACTTTAAGTGTGTCGGTGGCACAGTGGTTAGGACTCTCGCCGACCATGCACATAGTTCGAGGTTCGATCCCCTGTCGACGCACACTGATATCTCTGGTCGGCCTGCAAAATTTGGGCTACCGATATCCTCATTAAGGAAATCTTATACTTGTATCAAAAATACAGTGTGGAATCAAGCTGTAATAAAAAAAAGAATAAAGAAGATGGAGCTGATGGAGATACCCCACAGCCAACAACAAGAGCAACAGGTATCATTCACCATCAGCTGAATAAATTTACAACTGGTCACTTCCTTTATTTGTCTAGGAAGCATTATTTCAGCTGCAGTCTAGTAGCATAGATAACGATGGCAAAACCATCCAAATCGGAAACTTTAGGTACGCTTTCATCACTGTGAAATCAGTGTGTAAACCTTCTGCACTCATTAGAAGAAATACTATCCAGAGTATTAGCACGAGTATTAAATCAGTCAGTTCTTCTCTATGGGTCAGAAATTTGGTGCGCCAACGGAAGCTTTTGTGGTAGACTACTGCAGGCTTTTATCAGTAGCTATCTTTACTGGTTCCAAATTGAGGTAAAAACGGCTGGCCACAAAAAATCAGTATAAGGAACTCTGGGAACGAAACAATCAAAATATCCACTGCTCAACAAACATTCCGAAGAAAATGGAGATGTTATCAGACACACACTGAGGAGAATGTTGGGTGATATCACAAACCAGCAAGAGGCTCATTTGGAACCCCAGTGGGAAACGTCAAGTTGGGCGTCCGAGGATAAATTGAGGAGATTATATGAGTAGAAGATGAGAGACTTCAGGAAATCGTGGGGCCAGCTTCATACAACTGCCGAGATCAGGGAAGAATGGATATGTGCTGTTGAAGCCTTATTTTCCACTCAGATCCACACAGAAACATAAATAATATAATAACTATGACAACAGGAACGGATACAACTTCGAATGGAGGAATGTACAAATTTTAGACAAGTAAAACACGGCGAATGCCAGGGAATTCCTAGAAGCTTGGTATTCAGGTGAATACGCCATCGACAGACGTATTGTTACAGATCAAATTCATAAACGAATGGAAAGGAAGGTTCATTGGCTAAAGGTCAAATATAATAAAAGTGGACAGAAATATAGGTAAAAGTGGTCCAGAGATAATCATTCACATTCAAGTTAATAAAGAGAGACGGTTATTACATCGGTGCAGAATTCTCAGTGCTGACGTCATACTGGAGTTTGCAATGAATATATTATCTAGAGGGATAATGAAAGCTTTATGATTAAGCAATCTTTCTCAAAGAACACACCAATACTGAAATTGTTAATCCCAATCCAGATTGCTTCCTAACACTTTATGTCTTTATGCTTATTCAAACAAAACTGATCGTTACGGAAATAGAAGCATATGCAACCACACACAAATATTCAAATGCCTGTAATAATGTCGTAGTAAAGTAAGAAGTATAGAAGGAAACGATTTCTGCTATGAAATGAATGTCTAAGAAATCAATAAAAATGAAAGACCACTTAGTAGATGTTTCGATGAACATTAAAGAGTCATATGATATACATAATGTGGAGGTCAACAGCAATCAGCATCAAAAATAAGATCCGGATTTTCAACTCCAATGTGAAGTCAGTGCTACTATACGGATCAGAGACTTGGCGAGTCATAAAGAGCATCTCAAACAAACTTCAAACCTTCATTAACAACTGTCTCCGCTCAATACTCAAGATCAGATGGCCAGAAAAGATCAGCAACAGGGATCTCTGGGAGCGAACCAATCAGGAACCGATTGTGAAACAAATAGGCAGGAAGAAATGGAGATGGATTGGCCATACGCTGAGGAAACCATCAAGTGACATCACTAGACAAGCCCTCGAGTGGAACCCGAAAGGGAGGCGGCGAGTTGGTCGTCGGTTCAAGGGTGACTTGGAGGAGGTCATGCGAGGAGGAGATGAAAGCATGTGGACAGACCTGGAGCAGGGTGAAAAAGTTGTCAGAAAACCGAAGTCAATGGAGGTGCGCAGCTGAAGCCCTATGTTCCTCTAGGAACTAAAGGATACAATAATAATAATAATGGTTAAATTTAGTTGATACATCTAAGGGCGTTATACGAGAAAAACAAATTGATCAAAAATATTTTCTTACCTTATTAATGGGATACGTGAAAATACATTGAGTTGTGTTGCATATCCATAAAATGAACTGCCAGTGTTAATACGAAATTTTATTGTTATCGTTTCGAAAGTATTCCATTGACTTGGTGGTTGAACTGTCCAACCAAGATTAAGACCTAAAATAAAGGATTGAATTATCCTTGAGTTTTTGCAGCAGAATGGAATGAATTTTCATCATTTTCATAAACACTAAAATCTGCACTCTTAGCGAAGTAACTTAGGGAGAGCTGTTTGCCTTTAGTGTGAACACAGTATCACTGTTTGTGCGATCCACCAAGATATTTTCTCTTCTATTTAACGGTAACATGGAAAACGGTTTGCTGAATTGTTTTCAAAAACGCATGAATCAAGGTATTACATTATGAATAAAGCGTAGGTGGCACAGCGATTAGGACGCTCGTCGACCATGTACATGATCCGGGTTCAATCCCCTGCCGACGCACAACTGAAATCAACGGTCGCCCTGCTAAATTTTGGCTGAAAATTCCATACTTATACCAAAAATACCCTGTGGAATCAAGCTATAATCAAAAAAAAAAAATAAATAAATAAAATAAATAGGAAAATTTAGAAGACAAACTTCACAAGATGATACCATCATTTCGTAGTTTCTCTACAATCGCTTTACGACTAACATAGTTCACAATAACAAAATGAAATAAAATGCATGACAATTACTCAGCTATATAAAACAAAAGTACATACTAACGACCGATCCTATTTAAATAGGTCAAGTAGTCTATGGTTGGCAAAGGTTGGAGTATATCGTTTTTGTACACATAGTTTGGGATGAATGTGATTAATCCAAAGTGCTTCCACCAACTTTTATAATCTTGAAATAGAGTTATGTGATGAAATACTTGTGAAGCAGTCATTAATATTGATTTTGTGACCTGACATTATTAAGTACTTTGCAGTGTATGATGATGGATTTCTATTCAAATTAATCGCATTGAGATTTTCTATGTGTTTTAATAACCATTTTGAAACATGTTCTTTTTGACGATTTCGGAACATTCAATTAGTACTAATTATATAGGTATCACCGCAACTACTAGTGAATTTGTACATACAGTTTGAAATAGAGTCCACAGAATATCGTCCTTAATCTTTGGTACAAGGATCGAAATTATTTGAAATGTGAGGGAATGAGTTGCATCGTAGAATGCGCACTTGATGGCTGACCGAGGTGTTTGAGCTATCAGCTGCGTAATTTGATCATCCTTGAATGGTAGGTTAATAAAGATAGCTTTCTTTGGTACTATTATGTACTCGTCGCCAAATTGTTATGTACTGGTCGAGAATTTAATAGTCCTGACGCAAGGAAAGACGGAAATCAGAAGACCACTAGGTTTGCGATGATACTTCTATTTTCCAAACACAAGGAGAATCAAAAATGTCACACAATAGTGTGAGAGCAAAATATATATGAATGTCCAAACAAGTGTGTGAACAAATTAATATACAGTCTTAACATGATTGGCTAATTATAATGGAATATCGATCCATATATACATAGCAAAATATATCAGACTGCCAACAAACATATATGTATAATATAAGGGGAATATACATTGTTAAAGGAGACAGGTTCATCAAAGTGAAATGGCCACAGACTAAGAGAGCAACAGAAAGAGAGACCATCATACGCATATATATATATCATCAATGTGTTGCTTGTACACATCATGGGGGCCCTTGAAAATAAACATTTCACTAGTGAACGTTTATACTGGATAGGAACAAAACTAGTGAAACGAAGATATGGTTCACTCCATGTCTGTTTGCGAAAAATAGATCGTTTAGTCTATCCATCGTCTCTCTTTGTCATTGAGATGTTTAGGAAACTGCATTTGTTATTCGATTCGAGTTCGGAAGTCACTCGGATTTTTGGATGAATAAGATTAAGTAGAGTAATAGAGTTTTCAATAGACTTACTACTATTACCAATAATCAGTGTATCATCCACATGACGTTTATGTGGCATAAATTCTCCTAGTATAGCATGCATTGTTTCTACAATTTCAACATGAATATATCTGCAACAGGCGCCCAAAAGGGCTCCCCATCCCAACATTATCGATTTGTTTGTATTCCTTTCCTTAGAAGGTGAATCTGATATTTTCCGTATATATTAAAATAAAGTCTTTGATGTAGGCGACAGGAATAGGCAAGTTTATCTCATTGCTTGCGATGTAATCGCAAATGAAATCGATAGTTTCATGGAGAGGAACATTGGTGAATAAAGATTCAATGTGGATTGAGTACATAACATTTTACTTAATGTTCAAGTTGTCTAGCATATCGATCAAATCAAATGAACTTTTTACAGAATGATTTGATAATGAGTCTAAGACAGGCATAAGGACCTATGTAATCCATTTCGCATTTTCATGATATGGAGAATTCGACATGTCTAAGATGGGTCTCAGTGGGTTCACAGTTTTGTGGATCTTCGGAAGGCCACAAAGCCGGGGAGTATGTGACCCAATTGCTTTAAGTTGTTTATAAATTTTTTCATTTATAAAACCATACATTAGCACTATCTGAAACTGCCGATGGATTTGATTTTCAACAAGCAGCACATTATCAGTAGTATTATCCACCAAAACTTTAGACTGATCTTTGAGGATTTCATTCATTTTATTCTGATAGTCTGATTTATAATACAAAAGGAGCAAACCTTTGGATGTTTGTAACAAAAGCGTAAAGTCTAGTTGCAGGTGATATGTGTTGTCCAAAGTTTAGCGATTTAGTTGTTAATCTTATCTGTCTGTGAGCTTACTGGCTAATTTATAGGGTCAAATTTGATGGTGAATAACCGTAAACCTTACACAAAGCTAAATTAGCGGGATGCTGCGTACTGCTGACTATTCTATTCCCTCCAGTTCCGAGTGAGAAACAAGACTTCAACAACACATTTCCACTTTATCTTATCTTCTGCCGACCTCTTCAGCTTGGACCATGGTTACCTAGAATCTCTTACCCACTCCTCACAAGATCTTTTTCATGTTACCTGAAGACGACCCACTCATCACATCTCAACGGGATTCCACTCGAGCGCTGGGCTGGTGTGCTATGTCATTCGATGGTCTTCTCAGTGAATTTCTGATCCACCTCTACTTTCTCCTACATATTTGTTGAGTAATCAGTTCTTGGTTGGTTAGTTCCCTTAATTTTTTGGCACTTATTCTTTCTGGCCATCTGACCTTCATTAAGGAGCCAGTTAAGGCAGCTGTTGATAACAGTCCACAGTGACTTATTGGAAGTGCTTTTCGTGACATGTCAAGTTTCTAACTCATAAAGAAGATTTCAGGATTTCATCATGAGCTGACATTAGTTAGAGAACCATTGGGAAACCTGGGAGTACTGGACAGCTGTTTCGTCCTAGTTTGGGACTCTTCAGCAGTATGCACCCACCGGATTCGAACCAGGACCAGAATTGACAAAATTGACATTGATTTTGAAAATCCGAATCTTGTTCCATGTGATAAGGTGGAGTGCAGAAGATTTCCAAACTGGTAACGTGTTTTGGTAAAGGTGTATCTCACCTTTCCGATTCTGGCATGCTTTGACGCCTTCATCCCTTCCGACTGCCTGTAGTAGAAACGATACTTCCTAGATGAGTGAAGGATGTCATACCTGTTAAAACACTGCCGTTGATGGTGATTGGTACTGATTGTTTTTGCTGTTGCTGTCAGTGGTTGGTTACCTTCATCATCTCTGTTTTCTCGATGTTCATATTAGTTTGTCTATTAGATGCATCACACACAGTGTGAAACAGTATTACTGTTTACTGGATGACGAGGTTTCGAACAAAAATTATTGTTCTTAATCATATCAGTTGTAATCACACGACTTTGAAACTTGAGTTTTATAGTTTTCTTTGTTCTCTCCTATGTGCCGTCTTAGGGGTAGTAGAATTTTCCAGATATCTGGCTGGACAGGTGTTGAATCATTCCTATTACATGTATTTGCAGTTGGTTCGATAAACAAAGCATCTGTTATGAATCTCTCCGTCAACCTTGTGATATTACATTTTAAAACTGTCATCCTATCCCATCCTACTGTTTCGTTGTGTGTAAGTGCATGTAGTGAGTGCTGTAGCTGAATTATTCTCTAGATTTCTTATTTTATTTAGGTTAACCAATCTAGATTTTGCTAGGTTTTAATGTTCAGCTAGTCTGATTGCCCCTATTCTACTAGTCTGACCTACGTATCTGACCTGACAATCATTCCAGCAGGGTATTAGATAAACTAAATTGTTTTGTTTTAAAGGCTTCACTGGGGTGATTCTTTAACCGACAAAGTTTGTTTCTAATTGAGTTTGTGGGTTTGAATGCCACTTTTGTTCCTGCCTTGTTAAGAATTCTGCGTAAGGTGGTTTCCGAGGTTCCTTCCTTGTATGGAATTACTACTGATGATTTAGATTCCTTATTGTTAGTGTCGTCATTATTATTATTATTATCACTATTATTATCATCATCATTATTATCGCAATCGCTACTACCATTATTTATTTTCTTTTTACATTGATACACATAAAAGAAGCCTTGAAACTTAATAAATACCCTGATAAATTAGTCAGGAAATATGTAAGGAAATGTAAAAATAAAATAAATAATAATAGTAGTGATAGTGATAGTAACAATAATGATAATAATAATACTAGTATTGATGACGACATGCATGTCCAGTATGCGCATGACTACACCAACAATAAGGAATCTAAATCATCAGTAGTAATTCAATACAAGAAAGGAACCTCGGAAACCACCTTAAGCTGAATTCTTAACAATCTACGAAGGAATAATATCATTATAACATTATCATTATCACTACTGTCATTATTTATTTTACTTTTTAGATTTCCTTACATAATTCCTGACTAATTTATCAGGCTATTTATTAAGTTTCAAGGGTTCTTTTATCTGTTTATCGATTCAACTGCAAATACATGTAATAGGAATGATTCAACACGTGTCCAGCCAGATATCTGGAAAATTCTACTACCCCTACGACGGCACATAGGAGAGAACAAAGAAAACTATAAAACTCAAGTTCCAAAGTCGTGTGATTACAACTGATATTATTAAGAACAATAATGTTTGTTCGA